TCCTGATAACTGATCTTTTTAATATATTACTGGATTTGGTTCGCTAATATTTTGTTATACTACCTCATATTTGAAGAAATATTTATAGGAAAACCTTGCATGTTATAATAATTCCAGATTTTGGAATCCCATGGATCTGGTCTTAAAACTCAACACTGCTACACTGGTTGGTAACTGGAGTAGCTTAACTTCTCTGAGCCATTTTCCTTATTTGTAAAATCATGATGATGATGATATGTACTTTCTATATTGTTAATTCATTTAAATGAGATGACTTATATGAAGTGCCTGATAAGGCGCTTGGCCTGTAGTAGACAGCAGTATTTGAAATATATTATTACTTATAAATGATTTTGCCTCTTGCTCCTTGACATTTGATATTGATCTATACAAATAAATATTTTAAAATAAATATGAAAGGTAGTGGGTGGTGCAGTGGATAAAGATATATCCTTTAGAGCCTGTCTGGATTTAAATTATGGTTCTACTACTTCTTAGCTTTTTTGTGACCATGAATAAGTAGTAAATAACTTTGCCTCAGTTTCCACTTCCGTAAGATGAAGGTAATAGCAGTACCTACTTCATAGGATAATTGTGAGGATTTAGTGACTTAATGTAAAACACTGCCAATGGTGCCTGACATGTTATCAATATTCAGTAATTAATAGCTATTGTTATTTTTAGCTTTTTTCAAGGTAGCATACCTTTTTATTAAGTCAATGTCCAGGGCCAATTTAACTTTTATACATTGCTAAAGAAAGAGAATATAGTAGCCAACTTATAGATCATGTAAATGGGAAGCGTTATTTCAAAAATAAAGAGTTTTAACAGTTACTGATAGATTTAAGAATGCTTAATAAAAAGTCCAAAAAACCCTAGAAACATAGATTTAGGGGAAGATAAATACTGCTTAACTAATTTTTTAAACTGAAAAGGTATGTATTTATATAATAAAACCTATTCAGAGAGTATAAAAGTTCATATAATAGAAAGTCTTCTCCTGACCTCTAACTCCCAGCTCTCTTCCCAGACCCAAATAGTACTGTTAACATTGTTGAGTCTCCTTCCACAACAATCGGTGTATGTACAAAGGTATAAATGAGTATATATTACCCTTTTCTCTCTTTTCGACATGAATGGGGGCATGCATTTCTGCATTTTGCTTTTCTCATTTAATAGCTCTTGGAGCTTATTCTGCACATATAATCACATACAAAGTTACCTAATGTATACATTTGTGCCATAGTTTATACAACAAACCTCTTATTGGTGGAATTTGGGTTTTCAGTTTTTTGGCTTTTATGCACCATTCTATAGTGAATATTCTTATAATGACATATATGCACAAATACATACCTGTAAGATAAATTTTTTTGTTTGGCAAGATCTTTCAAAAAGAAAAATGCAAATTGCCCTCCAAAGAGATTAGCAGTGTAGCTCCATAAGTAAAAAAAGAAAAAAGGGTATTGGGGGTTAAACTTGAATACTTTCCAGGTGGTTTTCAGCAGCATGCGTTAGTGAATCATGGTTTTTAGGAGGGTAAGTGGGGTTGCTGCGAAATTACATTCCTGCCTCTTCCCTCCCCCAACTTTAGTTGTCTTCATTACATTCCTGCCTGGGAAGTGTTCCCAGTGACCTGGGTTAGGCATTAAGATCATGGGAATCCAACATTTTCCCATGTCTTCAGCATGTTTGTTCACAAGAACAGGCAAACTTTCTTCTTGTAGAGGGGAATTTTAACCGGCAGTCACTGGGGAATCTTTCAATAAGGGTCCTTTGAATAGAAATCAAAGAGAAGAAAGTTATCAGTAGGTCAAAGTCAGTGATAATGTTATGGTAATATATTTCATAGCACTCGAAGTATCTTTTCATTTGTTTATGGGAAGTAGGTAGGCAGAAAGGTAGATGAGTTGCCTGTTGGCCATATACATCTAGTAAATGCCAAAGATGGCTAGATTTCAGGACTTGTATGTTACTTGGTATTACTTTTGTCTGTGACAGAAAGTGTAATTCTAATAGCTTAAACAAAAACATATTACTGTCTGAGAGGAAGGGAGTGGGAGAGATAGAAATATTCAGTGATGAAAAAGTCATTGACTGGCTGCCTCCTGCACACTGCGCCCCCCCTGCCCCCATTGGGGATTGAGCCCCCAATCCGGGCATGTGCCCTGACCATAAATCTAACTGTCACAGTTAGATTTATGGTCAGGGCATAGGTCATTGCTCATAGGGCATAGGTCCTGGCTCATAGGTCATTGCTCAACCACTGAGCCACACCAGCTGGGCGGTTGCTGATATTTAATCATCAATGATCAGTAGTAGCTCAGTGATATCAGAGCCAATGTCAGTTATACTCTTAGCCATCCACTCATGTGTACATGATCGGTGTTATAGCTCTAACCATTTATATCTGCTTTGAAGGCAAGAAGGAGGGTGAAAGAAAAGGGCAGGACCAGGGGTTGTAGCTATATTAGGAAAAATAAGAGTCTTTATAAATCTGTCAGCAGATTCTGACTTTTTTCTCATTGGCCAGAACTGTCCCATGGCTACTACTCCAAGCTCGGAAGGTGGCAGTGTAGGTCAGTGGTCACCAACCTTTCAGACCTCCCAGACCACCAGTGGTCCATGGACCTTCGGTTGGCGACCCCTTTTCCAAAGATTTCCTTAAACCAGCGGTCGCTAACCTTGTGGACCTCATAGACCACCGGTTGGTCCCCGCTGACCTAGGTGACTTCCATTATATTATGCTTCCTACTGTTTTGGTGATGTTCAGTTAAAAAATACTTAATGGGCCAAAACCGGTTTGGCTCACTGGATAGAGCGTCGGCTTGGGGACTGGGTTCGATTCCGGTCAAGGGCATGTACCTTGGTTGTGGGCATATCCCCAGTAGGGGATGTGCAGGAGGCAGCTGATCGATGACTCTCATTGATGTTTCTAACTCTATCTCTCTCCCTTCCTCTCTGTACAAAATCAATAAAAATATATAAAAAAAAATACTTAATGGCTTAGGTTATGTTAATCTCTAGTTCTTTTTATATTTATAGTTCATGCTTATATTTAAATATTGTATACTATCTTGTTTATTGAGAGTATAGAACTTCAGCTACTGTCTAGATTTTTAAATTCCTTTGTGTTTGAGGCTAGATCTATTATATTATTATTATTATTATTATTTTTTTTTTTTGTATATTTTTGAGAAAGGAGCTTCGATAGCACCAAAACCCACATTTTTTTTTTTTTTTTTTTTTTTTAATATACTTCATTGATTTTTTACAGAGAGGAAGGGAGAGAGACAGAGAGTTAGAAACATCGATGAGAGAGAAACATCGACTAGCCGCCTCCTGCACTCCCCGCACTGGGGATGTGCCCGCAACCAAGGTACATGCCCTTGACCGGAATCGAACCTGGGACCTTTCAGTCCGCAGACCGACGCTCTATCACAGCCAAACCGGTTTCGGCAAAACCCACATCTTAAGAACTACTAAGAAATAGCTTATGGAGTTAAATTGAATACTGAAAGTAGAAATAAGTGAGAGTGAAAAAGTTAGAATGTGGGTAATGCAGAATCTATTTAGGGCAAAAAGAACTATGGAGAATGGATCTACTTAGAAATAAATATTGTTCTACTTTCTATAAAAATATAAATCTTAATTACGTTAACAGGCTTCTCTAATTCACAGTGTGAGGGAATGACTCAGCACAGGAACCCGTGGTGTCTGCTTTCTGAGCTCTAATCCCAGAGCCCCCAACCCTGGCTTCTGCTCACAAAGCTCCAGTCTACTCTGTCCTCCCTCAGCCAGAGCCCAAGGTGAATTGTGTGATGGCCTTTTAAGAGGATGCCTGCATTTCCAGCCATCTTTCCCTGGCAGAGAACAGCCCTGCTGCTTTTACAGCCAGATGTTATGCCAGCACCTTTCTCAGTTTTGGTGCTCTGTGCTGGGGTCCCAGCTTAGTGTTTAGATCCCAGATGCTATTTTAGTTGTAAATTCCAGTTTGGTCCTGGGAGTGTGTCAGTGTTATTCCCCCACCATTTTTAATCTCCTATATGTTTTTAAATCCCCACTCAAGGATTTGTTTATTAATTTTAGGGAGGAAGGGAGAGAGACAGAGAAACATCACTGGGAGAGAGAAATAAACATCAATCTGTTGCCTCTTGTACAGGCCCTCACTGGGGATCGAACTGGCATCCTAGGCATATGCCCTGATCAGGAATTGAACCTGCAACCTTTTATTGGATGACGATTCAATCACCTGAACCACCTGGCCAAGGCTTATATATTTTAAGTCTTTTTCTTCATCCCCAGGAACAATATTTTTATGAAAATAAGGAAAGAAAACCTAAACTTGGCAAAACTGTATTGAGCTCTTATTATGTATAAGATACTGTTCTAAGCACATTGATGGATGAGGCATACACAAATGAGTAAAATCCCATTCTTGTCTTCAGGAACTTATAATCTATAGAACTTATAGGAGAGACATTTGTGTAGGTTATTAATATAAAATTGGATGGTAAAGCACTATAGTGTTGGAGAAGCAACAATTATGTATAATGGGTAGAAATTGGGAAATAATTTGTAGAGAATTGAATTGGACTTTGAATGATGAGGAAGATTTTGGTTAGGAATGAAATTTAATGTATGCATGTCAGAAATTGGGTTGTGTGGGACAGAGAGAGAGAAAATTGGATTGGGTTATTCAGGGCAGAGAGTAAATTGGGTGAGAAGATGGTAGAATGAGGGGAAAATAAAATAATGAATGTAAAAACTAGCACAATGGATGGCATGCTGTAGGTACTCAAACTTGGCCATTTTCTAATTCTACATATTTACCTCAAGGAGTATTTTCAAGTTACCAAAAATAGCTTGATTTGTTTTGAAAAATAAGACATGTGCAGTCAAGTTTTTGAAATTTTCTTTACTTGTAAGTTGACCTGTTGAGAAAAATGACAATAATATTGGGAAAACCTGCTCTGCTCTTCTGTGCCCAGGTGGGGACAATGTCTTACTCCTATGATGCTCCCACGAACTTCATCAATTTTACATCTTTGAATGAGGAGGAGGAACCGCCAAACATAGATTCTTGGTTTGGTAAGTGTCTGCTTTCTCTGCCATTTTAAGGGTTAGTGGCTTGCCTTGTTCTGAGGATCTTAAAAAAAGAAGGGGTTGAAAGAAAATAATTAAAATGTAAATTCCTGTCTGCATCAAGATACTTTGTCATCCATGACAAAGAGAGAAATAATTGAAGTGCCCATTATCTTGGGAATGAACTATCAGTATAAGACAACGTTATTTTGTGGTTAAGAATGACAAATAATTTAAACTTTAGTGATATATGGGAAAATCCAGAAATCCATATTTTCTTAAAATACAATGAAGCAAAGTTGAGTGAAACTCTAGGACTCAAAACCATGTCTATAGTGATGGCAGCTACGGTACGTAAAAATTTGCTCTACTTGTCACTGGGCATACAGTATATTACAACTAGGTTATTGACATTGATACAATCCATAATCTTGCTCAGATTTCCCATTTCACTTATACTCTTGTTTATGTGTATTAAGTTTTATGCATTTTTATCACTAGGGTAGGTTTGTGGATCTACCACCACAGTCAAGATACTGAATAGTTGTAACATCACAGGGAGTCTTGTGATGCCCTTTTATAACTATACTACCGTGTTTCCCCGAAAATAAGACATCCTCCGAAAATAAGACCTACTTATAGGTTTCTTTCTGAGTGAAATATAAGGCATTCCCCCGAAAATAAGGCCCCCTCTGTGCTCTGTCTCAGTACGCCATTGCTAAACATGAGAGATTTGGTCCACTAATTCTGAAAGAAATGGAGTCACAGGAAATTCAGGAATTGGATTGTTATGATGATGTTCCAGAAGATGATTACATGATTGTCATTGAATAAATGAATAAATTCTTGATACTGTAGGATTCACAGTTTGTCTGGTTTGTGTTGACAACTACCGTACCATATACAGGTAATAAGTTTCCTTTATTTTCATTTAACAATAAATGTGTACCGTATTCTTCTTCATGGAAAAATAAGACAACCCCTGAAAATAAGACCTAGCACATCTTTGGGAGCAAAAATTAATATAAGACACTGTCTTATTTTCGGGGAAACAGGGTAGGCACCTGTTGCAGGAGTATTCCTGCAAGACTTCCAGTGGGCTTCCCTCTCGCCACCCTCACCTCTTCTGCCCCCCCACCTTTCCCGCTGCGCAGTGCGCCCCACTCCGCCCACCCGACCTGCCGCACCCATCAACCCCTGCTGCAGCCTCGCGTGCCACCAATGCTCACCTTTCCTTCAGCAGCTGCAGCTGCCTTGCTTTCCACTTTCCCTCCCTTTTCCTTCTATGCTGTCTTCAGTCTTCACTCCTCCTTCCCTCCACGTATGCAAATTAACCACCACCTTTGTTTGGTTAATTTGCATATTCAATCTGATTGACTGGTGAGTGTGGCATGTGTGGCAGAGTGATGGTTAATTTGCATATCACTGTATTAGGTTAGACTAGTCATGCATGGTGGTTTGGGGGGTGTTCCTCAGCCCAACCTCACCCTCGCCAATCTGGGACTCCTCAGGATGTCTGACTGCAGGTTTCTTCTGATGCCACTTCTTTAAAATAGACTTGCCCAGGCCGCACTCAAGGGGCCAAAGAGCTGCATGTAGCTTGCGAGCTGTAGTTTGCTGACCACGGGTTAGGGCAAGGATGATTATATTTTTATATTACTTTGGAGTAATATATAAGACTATGTCAGCGTAGTAGTTGCTGGGATCCCTTCATTTTATTCTTTCGCATGTTCTTTTTACTCCTTATTAAGAGAAATCAATATTGATAAGAAAATGAGTCCATTGAAGCTGTATTTAGCACTGATAATGCAGAGTCCAAATGTAAGGGCATAAGCCATTCTCCTGGGAAAGGACTTTAATGGTGTCTAATCCAGATCCCAAGAGGAGAGGTTTCTTGGTAGTGCTATGGGAAGAAAGATAGATAAGAGCGCCATCTATCCAACAGGGGTCTTTCCATGCCCTCGCTCTATGGAAATTCTGAGGAAATGGTTGGGTTGTTTGTTGTCTCTTTTTCACAGTTTTTCTTTAAATCAAAAAAAGGAAATAACTAGTATAACAATACTACCCTGTTTCCTCGAAAATAAGACAGTGTCTTATATTAATTTTTGCTCCCAAAGATGCTCTAGGTCTTATTTTCAGGGGATGTCTTATTTTTCCATGAAGAAGAATACGGTACACATTTATTGTTAAATAAAATAAAGGAAATTTATTACCTGTATACGGTACAGTAGTACGATAGTTGTCAACACAAACCAGACAAACTGTGAATCCTACAGTATCAAGAATTTATTCATTTATTCAATGACAATCATGTCATCATCTTCTGGAACATCATCATAACAATCCAATTGCTGAATTTCCTGGTGAATTTCTTGTGACTCCATTTCTTTCAGAATCAGTGGACCAAATCTCTCATGTTTAGCAATAGTGTTCTGAGACAGAGCCTAGAGGGGGCCTTATTTTCAGGGGAATGCCTTATATTTCACTCAGAAGGAAACCTATAAGTAGGTCTTATTTTCGGGGGATGCCTTATATTTCACTCAGAAGGAAACCTGTAGGTAGGTCTTATTTTCAGAGGATGTCTTATTTTCGGGGAAACACGGTATTACATACTAGAGGCCCAGTGCACAAAATTTGTGCACTCGCAGGGGGTGAGGGGGTTCCTCAGCCTGGCTTAACCCTCTCGCAGTCTGGGAGCCCTTGGGGGATGTCCTAAGCCGGCAGTAGGACATTCTTAGCGCTGTTATGGAGGTGCGAGAGACTCCTGCCAACGCCGCTGTGTGTTGACCACCTGTGGGAGCGCGTTGACCACCAGGGGCAGCTCCTGTGTTGAGCATCTGCCCCCTGGTGGTCAGTGCATATCATAGTGACCGGTTGTTCTGCTGTTTGGTCGATTTGCATATTAGCCTTTTATTATATAGGATAGTTGGGAAGAAAATTATTAATCCCACTTTTTTTTTTTTTTTTCAAAACCTTAGTTCTAATATATTGCTTTCTAATTTCCTCCAAGCAATCACATCTTTTTACACAGTTGCAATCAGTTTATATACACCATATTTTTTGCTGGGACTCACCACAATCTTTTAAAAATTATTTTTAAAATATACTTTTATTGATTTCAGAGAGGAAGGGAAAAAGAGATAGGAAACATCAGTGATAAGAGAGAATCATTGATTTGCTGCTTCCTGCACACCCCCTCCTGGGGATCAAGTCCACAACCTGGGCATGTGCCCTTGACTAGAATCGAACCTGGGATCCTTCAGTCTGTAGGCCGGCACTCTCTCCACTCAGCCAAACTGGCTAGGGTATTCTCACCACAATCTTGATACTTCTGTCAGTAGGCTGGGGTAGAACAGGCGTTTCACTGCTTTGTGCTGACTTTTAGGCACAGCAGAACATAAGACAAAATTACTGCATAAAGCCTAGTTCTTTCCTTTCTCACATACCTCATACTCCCCTCTCACTACCCTAGTTGAGGAATAACGTCAATTCAGACTACGAGAAGTCCCTTGTGAACCTTGCAGAGCTTGGTGGCTACAGTTTTCTTTAGAAGGAACATGATGTATTTAGGTGGTAGATAAGGCCAGTTTATGCTTGTATGGTCCTAATTGTGAATCAAGCAAAGACAAAGAGCTGTTCACAGTGTAGTCTGTATTTCTTTTCTAAAATACATTGTTCACTGTTGCCAGTGTTGTAGTGATAGTTTTCATAGTCTCTATCTCTGACGCATAATGTGTACTCATTTTTTTTCTCACTAGAATTTTGCTTATACTTTTCAAGCGAGTTAGAAATGTACTGGTTGGGGCTTTAGGCCCCATGTTAAGTGCTTGGCACTGACTTATTTTGCTTGTGTAGCTGATGACATTCTTATCGTTTCACAGAAGAGAAGGCCAATTTGGAGAATAGGTTTCCTGACCTGACTCCTATGAGAAAAGCAAATCTTCCACAAGCTATTGTGACACCTTTGAGACCAGGTAAGAGAAAATATTAGAAAAAAGCTTCTTTGCAGAATGGTGGTACAGTGTAGTAGGGGCCTGAGGGTTCTGGAGGAATTACCTAAATGCTGTATATCCCTTGGTTTATTTTTGGTGAGATGTGCTCATTTATTTCATGGTGAATGTGAAAATAATGATGTGCTACACTTTAAAAAAAAATAATGTCTTGGGACTTAAGCTAACATAGAATTTTTTTGTCCAACTAGAATTTGATTGCCAGATATATAACCGTCTTCTTTTTATGATAGTATTTAATGTAACATATGGGTCTGGCTGATAAATAAACCAGTAGGAGAGAAGAATGTACTGCTCTATAGTATACAAGAATTCTGTCTGTCTGATTTTAAAAGATGATTGACATTTAAACTGGTGGTTACTAAATCTGTAGAATATAGTCTATTTGATCCGAATAAAAGAGGCATCTTTTAAGAGGTCACAAATCTGTGGGCAGTGCTTTAGAACCTACTCACCCTCTACATCCTGGAGGCTATATTAATTCCCTTCAGTTCACAATAAAGTCTTGGGCTCATGTTTTCCTTGAAAATGACCTTTTTTTGAAATCATTGCTATATTTAGATATAATTCACATACAGAATTCACCTACTTAAAGTGTACATTTTCTGTTTTTTATTTTATTTTATATTTTGTTGATTTCAGAGAGGAAGGAAGAGGGAGAGAGAGATGGAAACATCAATGATGAGAGAGAATCATTGATTGCCTGCCTTCTGCACGCCTCCTACTGGGATTCAAGCCTGCAACCTGGGCATGTGCCCTTGATCGGAATCGAACCCGGACTCTTCAGTCCACAGGCCGATGCTCCATCCACTAAGCCAAACCGGCTAGGGCCACACACAAAATTTTTAATCCAGAATTCTGTTTTAAGTCATATATATACATGATGCAGGGAAAAGCGGGTTTATGGTTGTGAGTACCCAAAACATAGTTTATTCTTGTATTATTAATTATTGTATTTTCCTTATGAATAACTGTAAACCTACTTTTGCCCTACTGTGTATATCTTATATTTAACTTATTTTCTTGAGATTTGAGTACTGACTAGTTTTGTTTATTTGTATTATTATTATTATTATTTTTTTTTTGGAATAGTTGTATGTTTATTACATGAAATTTTGTTTATTAGTATTATTTTAACTTATTTTTTAAAAATATATTTTATTGATTTTTTACAGAGAGGAAGGGAGAGGGAGGGATAGAGAGTTAGAAACATCGATAAGAGAGAAACATTGATCAGCTGCCTCCTACACACCTCCTACTGCGTATATGCTCGCAACAAAGGTACATGCCTTTGACCGGAATTGAACCTGGGACCTTTCAGTCTGCAGGCCGACGTTCTGTCCACTGTCCACTGAACCAAACCCATTAGGGCTTAACTTATTTTTTTAGAAAGGGGAAGGGAGAGAGAGAGAGACAGACAGACAGACAGACATAAACATCCATGTCAGAGAGAAATATCACTTTTTGATAGTGATACCGTATTTAGAGAGAAGTAATATTTCTCGCATGTGCCCCAACCAGACTGGGGATTGAACCCACAACCTGGGTATGTGCCTTGACTGGTAATCAAACCTGCCACCTTTTGGCCTACAGGAGGATGCTCCAACCAACATCCACACTGACCAGGGCTGAGTGTTGACTAGTTTTTACTCTCTTGCAGTTGATAACACTTACTATAAAGAGTCAGAAAAAGAAAATCTGGTGCAACAGTCCATTCCCTCAAATGTTCGTTCTGCCCTGGAAGTCAAGGGAACCACCTCAAGAAATACTCCATCTCTGCCTCAGAGGTAAGATTGTTTTATGGTCAAAAGTGGTGGTTTTATATATATATATATTTTTTTAAAAATAAATCTTTGTTGGCTGAAACCCGTTTGGCTCAATGGATAGAGCGTCGGCTTAGGGACTGAAAGGTCCCAGGTTCGATTCCGGTCAAGGGCATGTACCTCGGTTGCGGGCATATCCCCAGAAGGGGGTGTGCAAGAGACAGCTGATCGATGACTCTTTCATCAATGTTTCTAACTCTCTATCTCCTTTCCTCTCTGTACAAAATCAATAAAATACATTAAAAAAAATAAATCTTTATTGTTCAGATTATTACAGTCATTCCTCTTTTTTCACCCCATTGCTCCCCTCCACCCGGTTCCCCCCCACCCTCTGCCCTTACCACCTTCCTCACTATCCTCATCCATAGGTGTACGATTTTTGTCCAGTCTCTTCCCACATCCCTGACACCCTTTTTTCCCCGAGAATTGTCAGTCCACTCCCTTTCTATGCCCCTGATTCTTTTATATTCACCAGTTCATTCTGTTCATCAGGTTTGTTTATTCACTTGATTTTTAGATGCACTTGTTGATAGATCTGTATTTGTTGTTCATAATTTTTATCTTTACCTTTTTCTTCTTCTTCCTTTTCTTACAGAATATCCTTCAGCATTTCATATAATACTGGTTTGGGGTGATAAACTCCTTTAGCTTTTCTTATCTGGGAAGCTCTTTATCTGACCTTCAGTTCTGAATGTCAGCTTGGCATTCAGAGTACTCTTGGTTGTAGGTTTGTGCTATTTATCACTTGGGACATTTCTTTTTTTTTTTTTCTTTTTTTTTTTTTTAAATCAATCTTTATTGTTCATATTATTACAAAGGTTCCTCATTTCTTCCCCCCGCCACCAGGTTCCCACCCCACCCTCCGTCCCCCCCCCATCCCCCATTGTCCTCATCCATAGGTGCAGTTTATGTTCAGTCTCTTCTTCCCTCAATTTCCCCAATAGTAAATCCCTTTTCAGATAGTAAATCAGTTACTTAGCATTTTCTCATATCAATAATACCTCCACATGCCCAATGATACACTTCACACAAAAGACATTTCCCAATAGGTCCACCAGCCTCATCCAGGCCCCACCCAAGGCACTCACAGATCAACACCCCAGTCCTAAACTAACTCAACACATCCAGATCTAAGCCTTCATCACTTGATTCAGCAGACCCTCAAGTTCCCACGAAAGTTTCCAGCCATGTCTGAGAAGCAGCCGTGGGGCAGGGGCCGGCAAGGAGCGAGCTGTTCCGGGCCTGGCTGCTCAGGGCCTGGCCTCTGTTGCTCTGGTTCATTCCACAACCAGCTGCTCCGGGTCTGGTCACTGCCGCTCCCGACCTAGTTGCTCTGGACTTGGCTGCTGCTGCTCCGGGCCTGGCCGCTCCCAGCCTGGCAGCCGCTGCTCCGGGCCTGGCCGCACCAGCCCCGCCTGCTCCCCCGGGCCTGGCCGCTCCCAGCCTGGCAGCCGCTGCTCCGGGCCTGGCCGCACCAGCCCCGCCTGCTCCACTTGGGACATTTCTTGCCATTCCCTTTTGGCCTGCATAGTTTCTGTTGAGAGATCAGCTGACAGTCGTATGGGTGCTCCCTTGTAGGTAACTAACTGTTTTTCTCTTGCTGCTTTTAATATTCTCTCTTTGTATTTTGCTCTTGGCATTTTAATTATGATGTGTCTTGGAGTGGTCCTCTTTGGATTCCTTTTGTTTGGGGTTTTCTGCACTTCCTGGACTTATAAGTCTATTTCTTTCACCAGATAGGGGAAGTTTTCTATCATTATTTCTTCAAGTGGGTTTTCAATATCTTGTTCTCTCTCCTTCTGGCTTCCCCATAATTTGGATGTTGGTATGCTTGAATTTGTCCCAGAGGTTTCTTATACTATCTTCATATTTCTGGATTCTTTTTCTTTTCCTGTTGGGTGTGTTTTGCTTCTTCGTATTTCAAATCTTTGACTTGATTCTTGCGATCCTCTGGCCTGCTGTTGGGTCTCTGAATATTATTCTTTATTTCAGTCAGTGTATGCTTAATTTCTAGTTAATCCTCTTTCATATCTTCAAGGGACTCACTAAATTTTTCAGTGATTTTTAGAAAATTCTTGAAAAACCTTATAACCTTGATTTTGAACTCTATATCCAGTTGTCCTATAGGGCCCAGTGGCTCAGCCTCCCCAATTACCTGAGGTGGACACACTTGTTGAACCCTTTTGTGGGCTGTGTGCACAGTCTTGTTATAGTTAAGCCTAGATTGTTGTTGGTATCACTGGGAGGAATGATCTTCAGGCCAATTGACTGTGAGGATCAGTTTTGTCTACAGTGAGAGAACTTCTGTGCTGGAGACATACTTATGGGACAGGACTTGCTTCAGTGGGGCTTTGGAAATTTTAGATTGCAAAGGGCCAGGCCATTCATATGCAAAAGCCTCTGTGCACAGCTTGGGTGGAGTTGTAAATTGGGTGGGGCAGGGTCTTAGGAATCAACAGGGTGGAGCAAACAGCAATGGCTGACTGTCAGCCCTGCCCTAAGAGGCCCCCCGGGTCTCAGTGTCCCACAGTAATCGCTGCAAGCACCTCTGAGTGAAAGCTGCCGGTGAGTTCCAGTCTGATGCCAGACAGTCCAATTTCCCCCAGTATGAGTCTGGGTCCCCAGAGTCTCGCCTGGAACTGGAGTTCAGAACAGTTGGGAGCTTGTGTCTCCCTCCTGATTGAAAAATACAATTGCTTCCTCAGTTGCCAGCCCTTTTCTCACGTGCACCTCCATACCTCTGCACTTTACTTCCACACCTCCTCTGAGTCTCAGTGTGCTTTTCTCTTTCCTTCTAGTTGTAGAATTTCCACTCAGTCAGCCTCATGTGGTTTTGGATGATGTCTGTTTTATCTTTTAGTTGTAGTTTTGAAGTGGTTGTGTGAGGCAGCAAGTTCAGGTGTTTACCTATGCTGCCATCTTGGCTTCTTTCCAAAAGTGGTGGTTATATTAATGATGTTCAAAGAATAGTTTCCTGGACAGAAAACTAGATGTGCCATATTTTATTAGACTCTTTATGTTACTTCATTTAATCTTCATAACATTTACGAAATGTAGGTAATACGTTTCACTTGTGATAATGATTCAGAGGTTACTAAGTTATTTGTCTATGGTAACTTTATTTCAGAGCCAGGATTCAAACTGATCAGTTTGATTCCAAAGCCCTTGCTGTTTGCACCACCAACATGAGTTGTAAATTTAGATTTATTTTTATGGCTATTTGACAGATTTTTTTTTTTTTACACCCCATTGTAAGTAAACTTTCTAAGGGCAACTATAATTTATCTCTAGTCCTTAACAGTGTCTGGCTGGAGCAGAAGCTCAATAAATACTTGATGAATGAACAAATGGATGGGTAGGTAGATTAATCTGTAATCTTTACTAGCAATCTCAGAGCTTTCACCATCTAATAATTAACCACCCCGGCAGAGTTTAAATTGCTTTATACTTTGGCGTCACCTAGAATATCTCAAGAAGAATGGAAGAGTATTTATAATGTTATTACTCAGAAATAATGAAATTAACTTTTGCAAAGATTTGAGGATATCACAAGCTTATAATAATCTTCTCTGGTAAAGAAGTCCATTTTAATCAAAGAATTCTATGAAATCTCTAAACCAGATATGTATATATAACAGGCTGAAGAGATTGCTATTGGTTGACTCAGTGGTTTTGGTTTCATGTTTAGATTGTGAAGTAGGTCTATGGAAAAGAGACCCAGTGTCCTATAGATTCCTTCAGAACCCAAGAAACTGTTAGTGTCTTGGCTTTTATGTTTTGAATATGTATATGATTACTAAAATTGTTCCTTATCCAGACTGAATTCTAGAATGCTTTTTGGAAATGATGGTATGATAGAAGATATCTTCTGTCAGAAGATCTGCCTGAATATTTTTTTCTTAGGGGCATGTACCCTCAGCTATTTAAAACCTTAGTTTATTGAGAATAAGGTGCCGGGACCGGTTTGGCTCGGTGGATAGAGCGTCGGCCTGCGGACTGAAAGGTCCCGGGTTCGATTCCGGTCAAGGGCATGTACCTGAGTTGCGGGCACATCCCCAGTAGGGGGTGTGCAAGAGGCAGCTGATCGATGATTCTCTCTCATCGATGTTTCTAACTATCTATCCCCCTCTCTTCCTCTCTGTGAAAAATCAATAAAATATATTTAAAAAAAAAAAAAAGAGAATAAGGGAGCTAATTGTAAGAAAGGTCCAAATAAGATAATATGTACTTTGTAAATGATACTGTGTTATGAAAATGCATAATAAGCCTGGCTGCTGTTGCTCAATGGTTAGATTGTTGGCCCATACACCTGAGGGTCTCAGGTTCAATTCCCCATCAAAGGCACATTCCTGGCTTGCAGGCTCAATCTCTGGCCCCATTTGGGGAGTATGTGGGACATAACCAAACGATGTCTGTCTCTCTCTTTCTCCCTCTTCCTCCCCACCCTTCTTCCCTTCCACTTTAATAAAAATCATTGGAAAAAAATATCCTCAGGTGAGGATAATAAAAAAAGGAAATGCATAAAAATAGGTAAAATATTAGTGCATTATCTCAGATCTTAGATTTATCTTAGTCAGAGATGTCCAATCTAGAAAGGAACAGCATATGAAATTGGATGATCTGGATAATCATACAAATACCTTACTATTTTATTTCACACTAGAGGCCTGGTGTACAAAATGTGTGCACGGGTAGGGTCCTAGGCCTGGCTGCAAACAGGTCTGATCAGGGCCTTCCGCCCCCTGGTGGTCAGCACACATCATAGTGAGCAGTCAAACTTCCTGTTGGTCGAACTCCTGAGGAGAGACAATTTGCATATTAGTCTTTTATTATATAGGATGGTTTAGAAGGATAGGCTGAAAGATGGCCAAAACTACTTTGACACAGAAGTTAAGAATCAACAAGACTGTAATAATTTTTCCATGGAGGTGTTACTTTAAATGTGAAAGCTAAAACTCATATAAGGCAATATAGGAGAATATAGTTATGAGCTTAGAATAGGGGTATTTTGAATAGGATACACATTGAAAAGCACTGACCATAACAGGGAAGGGGGTAAATGTATTTTGAACACTGTTAATCAAATGATACTATAAAGAGTAAAAAAGCCAACCCCCATAGTGGGAAAATATATTTGTAAAATAAAATTTACAAAAGATTCATTTGTAGTATGCAAAGAGTCTCTACTAATCAATTAGAAAAGGATTAACAATCTACAGAAAGCAAGCAAGAGACTTGAACTACTTAGCACTTTATGAAAAAGGATAACCAAATGGCCAGTAAGCATGTGAAAAGTTGCTCAGTCCACTGGTAGTCAAGGAAAAGCATAATAAAACATCAATATCATTTAATATGACTATTAAGTCATCTGATAATACCTAGTTCAGGCAGCAAAAAAGCTAGTGTTCAGGAAGATGTAAACTCTTATAAACTTGACAGTGTAAGCATAAATTGATTCAAGCACTTTGGAAAAATGACTTGAGTTGTTTTAACCAATATTCTATGACCCAGAATTCTTACAATTAAGATATCCAACAGCAGCCAGGTGTATGTCTGCATCAAGAACATGAGAATCAACAGTAGACTGGTACATTCGTTCAATGAATGCATCATTAAAAACTGAATTAAAGCTACATGAGTCAGTGTGGTTGAATCTCACCAGCACAATGATGGGCAGAATAAATGATACAGAAAAAAATACTTGGAGCAGTCCGATTACATAAAGGTTTATTTTTTGTTTCTTTCCTTAATGTACCATGCTTATATGGTAACATGATAAAGAAAAAGTAATGATTACTATAAGACAAGTCAAGATAGCTGCTTCCAGTGTTCTGCTTAGGTCATGATTTCATTTTGTAATCTTTTAACTTAGCTTTTGTTTTGTGCATTTCTTGGTATGTGTTATATTTTAACTGTGTGGCTAAAAGTAAAAGGAGAGAATAAAGACTATGGTCAGTTTCCAGGAGCTCTGATCTCTAATTTCAATTCTGACAGCAGTTAGTTATATAACAGGGTTGGTCAAGTCACCTCACCTTTTTAAATTTATTTTTTATTTTTATTTTTAATTACTTTTCTCACTTATGAAAGAAAGGAATTCTGCTAGGATTGCCAGTGCTTTAAAAAATTGTCAGCTTTATTGAGGTCTGATTTACAAATACCGATGCATTTACGTACTAATATTTATGATGAAATTTTGAAAACTATCAGTAAAACGAAATTAGATGTTTAGAGTTGAAATAATACCACTAAACTTTTTTTAAAAATATGTTTTATTGATTTTGTACAGAGAGGAAGGGAGAGAGATAGAGAGTTAGAAACATTGATGAGAGAGGGTCATCAGCTGCCTCTTGCACACCCCCTACTGGGGATATGCCTGCAACCAAGGTACATGCCCTTGACCGGAATTGAACCCGGGACCCTTCAGTCCCCAAGCTGACGCTCTGTCCATTGAGCCAAACTGGTCCCGGCTACCACTAAACTTTTTTTTTTTTTTTTTTTTTTTTTAATTTTTAATAAGTTTTTATTGTTCATATTATTACAATTGTTCCTTCCCCCCCACCATTGCTCTCCTCCACCAGATTCCCACCCCACCCTCTGCCCTTTCCCCACTCCCCATTGTCCTCATCCATAGGTGCACAGTTTATGTTCAGTCTCTTCCCACACCCCCTCTCCCCTTTTCCACAAGAATCGTCAGTTCACTCCCCTTCCATACCTCTGATTCTATTATATTCAACAGTTACTATTGTTCATCAGATTTTTTTTTTTTAATTTCCTTGGTTTTTAGATTCACTTGTTGATAGTTACGTATTTGTTGTTCATAATTTTTATCTTTGTTTACTTTCTCTTCTGAAAGAACTCCCTTCAGCAACTCATATAAGTCTGGTTTGGTGTTGATGAACTCCTTTAGCTTTTTTTTATTAGTGAAGCTCTTTATCTGACCTTCGATTCTGAGTGATAGCTTTGCTGGATAGATTATCTTTGGCTGTAGGTTCTTACTATTCATCACCTTGAATATTTCTTGCCATTCCCGTCTGGCCTGCATGGTTTCTGTTGAGAAGTCAGCTGACAATCGTATAGGTGCTCCTTTATAGGTAACTACCTTCTTTGCTCTTGCTTCTTTTAATATTCTCTCTTTGTCTTTTGCTCTTGGAATTTTAATTATGATTTGTCTTGGTGTGGTCCTCTTTGGATTCCTTTTGTTTGGAGTTCTGTGCGCTTCCTGGACTTGTAAGTCTAATTCTTTCCCCAGGTGGGGGAAGTTTTCTGTCACTATTTCTTTCAGTATGTTTTCGATATCTTGCTCTCTCTCATCTTCTGGGACCCCCATAATTCTGATGTTGGTTCGCTTGAAGTTGTCCCAGAGGTTTCTTACATTATCTTCAATTTTCTGGATTCTCTTGCCTTCTAGCTTCTGTGGAGGAGTGTCTTCTGGCTCTTTATGTTCCAACTCTTTGACTTGATTCTTGCGATCTTCCCTTCTGTTTTTAGGACTCTGTAAAATATTTTTTATTTCAGACAATGTATTCTTTATTTCTTGTTGTTCCCTTATCATTTCTTGATGACTCCTTATTAATTCTAGTTGATTTCTTTTCATGTCCTCATAGGTCTTATCCATCTTTTCTAGGAAATTCTTGAAAAACCTTATAAGTGTAGATTTGAACTCTATATCCAGTCGCTTTTTGTCCTCCATTTCTTTCGTTTGTGATCTATTTGGTTTAGGCATTTTTGCAGGCAGCTTTCCTGATGGGGCGGGGTTTCAGGGAGGAGCCTACAGCTTTGGCTTCCGTCAGCCCCGCCCTATGCGACTCCTGAGACTCAGGGTCCTTCAGTGCTTGTTGTAAGCGCCTCTGAGAGAAAGGCGCCTTCGATTTTCGCCTGCTGCCAAACAGTCAATGCTCTCCCCCAATGAGCCCGGTATTGGGGTTCAGTTCAGTTGGAAGTGGAGTTGGAGGTGGCGTTCAGAGCAGACTGGAACCCCTGTCTCCTTCCCGCCAGGCAATCCCGCAGCACAGCCGGCCGTCCCTTCTCTGCGCACACTGGGCGCCACCACCGGGACCTCCTTTCGCAGCTTCCCCGGGTTCCGCCTCGCAGCCCAGCTCCCTCTGGCTGAGCCTGAGTCCCCGGGGTCTGGCCTAGGCCTGGGTTCAGAGCAGTCGGGGGCCCAGCACAGTCGGAGTTTTATCTCCTTCTCGCCAGGGAATGCCCGCCAGGCACTCTGCCTCCCTCCTCTCCGGCTCCGTCCTCTCCGCGTGCCGCGTGTCTCGGTACCTTGGGCTTTTCCAGCTCCTCTGCGCTTCCTTCTGGTTTTCTCCTTGCTTCTCGTTGTAGAATTTCCAGTCAGTCAACTTTCCTGTAGTTCTGGGTGATGTCCATTTTATATTTTTGTTGTATTTTATTGAAATTGTTGTGTGAGGCTGCAGCTAGGTATTCACCTGGGCGCAGCCATCTTGGAGGACCCCCACTAAACTTTTTATAGCCCTTTGTAGTTTGACATACTTTCACATTTCTGAAGAACATTTACATATCTGTAGGAGATATATTAATTTCAGATAAATTTTTGTCAATTCCTCTATGATAGGCGATCTGTTAGACTCTCTGCTCAGAAAGAAAAGCACCATGTGAAAACGAAAGCCAAGAGATGTGCTACTCCTGTGATCATCAGTGACACTCCACCCTCCAAAAGAATGAAAGTGTAAGTAGCCACAGCTTTTGACAGTTGGCATAGGTTTTTACCTCTGTTTGCCTCTAAGGTTAATAGTAAGCAGAATATATGGTGTTCTTATTTTTATCAGTTAGGAGTGCATTTTACCTGTTCAGCTTGAGTGGTTTACAGACTAGTTACTTGTTTGTTTCACAGAAGTTTACTGTTGGCTTTGGTTCAGTGGTTGAACAATGCTAGGGCATCATCTCTCTGAGTCAACTTTTATTTCTTGCCTGTTCCTCAAGATGGCTGCTCTGATTCTTAGCTCTTCCTTGTGTTTGTTGCCTCGGTCCCACAAGATAGCGGCTATATCTCTAGGTATCAAGAGAAGAAGGAAGCAAAGGAAGAGGGGCACCACCATATCACAAAAGTAAAATACTTTCTAGAAACTCTTGTTATTATCTTAATTGCCCAATTGTGTCATGGGTCCCTCCTAGTTGCAGTAGAGACTATTGATGCAAGTACAATACCTTTGCCTTTTTCCATTGTTGCCCCAAACAAAATTGGAGTTCTGTTAATAAAAAAGAAAATGGAATAGATATTGGGAGGGCAACCAGTTGTCTGGCATTTGTGCATTTGATGATGAACAGTTGGAATCCCTCTTATCCTCTTGAAGCTTCACTAGACAACTCTTACCTTGACTTCTATTAGTATTCCTAAAGTTTACCTAAAGTTAAGAGGATATTTTTTGTTCTTTTGAATTCAAGTTCTAATCAAAAGAAGTCAGAAGAAGGGGAAGATGGCATTGCTCCTCATCAAGATACTTCTGGAAAGAATGAATCTTCCCCAGAGAAAGCCAAGGACAGACGTACTATGCCTTGTGTACCACCTGTAAGGTATGCTTCTTTCCTAAATTTAAAACTGAGTCAATAGAGGAAAATTGCACATCTCCAGTCTATTTGTTGTACCTGGAGCTTGGGAAACTCCTGAGGCTATAACTATGGTAGGTGAACAGTTTTATAACCCGGTGAGCACTCAAATCTTAAACATTGGAAAAAATATATTATTAAAGCAAATTAAATGAAATATAAAAGGAAAAAGTAAAGGTTCTTACTATCCAATTTGAATGTTTTTGAATGTTTTTATTTTGTCAAACTCCCATCTGGTTTTGTGTTTTTAAAAAAATATATTTTATTGATTTTTGTACAGAGAGGAAGGGAGAGAAATAGAGAGCCAGAAACATCGATGAGAGAGAGCCATCAATCAGCTGCCTCTTGCACACCCCCCACTGGGGATATGCCCGAAACCAAGGTACATGCCCTTGACCGGAATCGAACCCAGGACCCTTCAGTCCCCAAGTCGACGCTCTATCCATTGAGCCAAACCGGTCCCAGCCCATCTGGTTTTATTGAAGTAAAATATATTCACTCGCTATGAGACTTTTTTTTTTTTTTTTTTTTTAATTTTTAAAAATATATTTTATTGATATTTTACAAAGAGGAGGAAGGGAGAGAGATAGAGAGCTAGAAATGTCAATGAGAGAGAAACATCGACCAGCTGCCTCCTTCATACCCCCTACTGGGGATGTGCCCGCAACCACTGTACATGCCCTTGACCGGAATTGAACCTGGGACCTTTCAGTCCGCAGACCAACGCTCTACCACTGAGCCAAACCGGTTTCGGCAAGACTTTTATTTATTTATTTATTTATTTCTATGTATTACTATAAAATCTTTACATTTGTCCTCTTTTGGTAGATTGCTAATATTCTCATTATATTTAAACATTTTCTGTTGAAAATGCAGTTTCTAATTTTTTGTTATAAGTAGTTGGTGAACATCTTCATAGGCAGAGCTATTTCTTTAGTGCAATCTCAATTATTAGTTTTATGGCTATTAATATATATTGCCAATTTTACTTTAGAAAATAGTATATAAATTCACAGTGCCATCAGATTTGAATATTATTATTTCCTTGTCTCATCTGCATTGAATGTTTTGACTTTAAAAAATGTTCCTGCCACCCTCGCCAGTTTTACTTAAAGGATAGACCATTGGCCTGCAAAGTGAAGACTCCCAGGTTCGATTCCAGTCAAGGGCACAGGTCCGGGTTGCAGGCTCAGTCTTCAGTAGGAGGGCGTGTGCAGGAGGCAGCCAATCAATGATTTTCTCTCATCATTGATATATATATATTTTTTTTCATCATTGATATTTCTATCTCTCTCACTCTCCCTTCCTCTCTGAAATCAATAAAAATATATTAAAAAAAGAAAAAAAAAGAAAAGAGGTCCTGCCTTGCCTGTGCAGCTCAGTTGGTTGAGTGTCGTCCCGTGTACCAAGAGGTGCCTGTTCGATTCCCTGTCAAGGCGAACCCCTGTCATCAGGGTGCCTGTGGGAGGCAACATATTGATGCTTCTCTCACATTGATATTTCTCTCTCTGCTTTCTCTAAAATGTCAATAAAAAATGTTCCACATTTAATTGCTATATTGTTGATGGCATTTAATTATTTTAATTTGTTATTTACCTGATTGCTGACAACATTGTATTACTGTTATTGTAACATCTTTTCCATATTTCCTCTTGGGTGAATTTTCTGTTTCCTTTTCTGTTTGTTATTAAGAATGGCTACTCTAACTGCAATGTTTACCATGTGTCAGGTACTCAGAAACATTATCTTATATTTAATAGTCACAAACATTCTGTGAAGATGAGTATATTCCTCATTTTACAGTGGAGACACCTAAGAATCAGGTTAAGTCATTTTCTCAGGATCACATAGGCAGAAAATGAACTGACAGGACTGAGATTTGAACTCTTTGGCTTTACTCCTAAGTCTATTCTTTCTGTCACAGTATATGTTCAGTGTATATTATTAGCCTTTGGTCGTATTTTTTGCAAAGATTTTTCCCATTCTAGTGGCATTTTAATTTTAGCCTTTCTGGTGGCAAAAAGCTAATTATGACATAGTCCAATTTGTGGATCTTTTGGAATATCTTGTCTGTTTTAGCTATTTTCTGAAAATTTGTTCAGTATTTAGGTATAAATTGTGCAACTGGATTATTTTTTCCATAGGTTATCTAATCAAATTTTTGTTTGGGTGATTATTGTATAACAGGTTTAAAATCTAATCTATATAATGCCTTTAGATTATTTTGAACCATTGAGCCTCTTTCTCCTATTTTATCTCCTTTATTGATTTGCCCTTTAGACAGAAACTTCTAAAAAGTACTGAGGAGCAAGAGTTGGAGAAGAGCTTGAAAATGCAGCAGGAGGTGATGGAGATGCGGAAAAAGAATGAAGAATTCAAGAAATTTGCTCTTGCTGGAGCAGGTCAGCTTGGCTTTGGTTGAGACTGATATATGAGGGGGTGCTTCTCATATTCTTGGTAGGGTTTTTTTTTTTTAAAGTCTCTATGGCAAAAGATCTTTCTTACTCAGTAGTTGGCATAAAATAATGTTTATTTAGAAGACTGGACCATCCCAATGATCATTCCCCAGAACATTTTATATACATTGACCCTTTCTTAGAGCATACTGTTCCTTCTCTAACTGTAGAAGTCATACCCATTTTTTGAGACCTTTTCCCATGAGGATTTCCTTCATTTCTTTAAGTAGAATTGATTTCCCCCTCCTTTTTCCTCCTAATTCTTTTTATTTATAATAGAAAAAGAGGGACTAGGATTTAGACAGGAGATAAAACAATGGGCAGGCCAGTTGTTTTCCCATTTTATCCTTGGTAAAGGAAGAGGAAGCAGAATGAATTCAGTTGTGGCTATGGAGGAAAAGTATGATGAGGGAACTGAAGGATCAGAGCTCTGCTTTGCTCTTGCATGGTTATTGGTGGAGTTGAAACTATAAAGCCCTGCTTACTGGTTGAAGGAAGCACTCCTAGATTTAATAGTGTTTCCTTCTTAGAGATGTTTAGTTAAGTTAGCCTTTTAAAAAAATATATTTTTACTGATTTTTAGAGAGAGAGGAACATTGACGAGAGAGAAACATTGATTGGCTGCCTTCTACATGGCCCCCACCTCAGATCAAGCCTGTAGTCTGAGCACGTGCCCTGACCAGGAATCAACCAGTGACTTTGTGGTTCATGGGTAGCAGCTGCTCAACCACTGGACCACACCAGCAGGGCTAGTTAAGTGTGATTTTAAAGTCAATTGAGAGCTTTGCCTATCAATAATATTCCAGCTATTCATTGTCTTCAGACCTGTAGCCACACCTGGGAGATGGGATTTTTCTCCCTGTCCAACCTCTTTAACAGTTGGCATCTGATCGAAGGGCCTCAGCTCCAACAGTACTCAACTCAATAAGGCACATATGTTAGTGTCCTTAGGACTGTTTCAAATATTGGCTTATATGTAAAGAATGAACAAAGTTAGATCCATGGCAATTGAAAGTCCAAAAAGACTGGATAAAGGGAGATTTACTAATGTTCTCTGTTCTTAGTGTAACCTCACTGTTTTGCTCTGCTCCCTGTTCAGGCCAGCCTGTGAAAAAAACAGTGAGCCAGGTAACCAAGTCAGTCAACTTCCACTTTCGCACAGATGAGCGAATCAAACAACATCCTAAGAGCCAGGAGGAGTATAAGGAAGTGAATTTTACATCAGAACTGCGAAAGCATCCTCCATCTCCTGTAAGTTGATGGACTAAGTGAATATTCCTCTTACTAATTTAGTGAGGATTTCAGCTGTAACATTTGTGTTCACCACTTAAATTCTCACTTTGCCTCCTATTAGCTCTGTGATCTTGTATAAATTACTGTCTCTCTGGGAACCATCTTGCTAAGTTGCTGTGCAAACTGAATTGAGAATATACACAAAGCACATAGGATTATGGGTGGAAAATCATAAGCACAGGCTTGTTATAGTTTGTGCTATTACAAAATTCTTACAAAATATGATATCATTTATGGGGAAAATGGCTTTGCGGTGACCACTTAAATCCTATGCAGTTTTGTTACTGAAGCACTAACAAAAACAGTAACAATCCTAAATAAAAATTCTAGTACTAAGAATCTCTACTTGCAATTTTAGTTATCATTATCATTTGTTAAAGTCAGTCTTTCAGTCTTTTACCCTGGGTGTGTCCTTTCTTTGAGATGTAGGTTCTGGAAAAGTGTTGTTTTTAGGCAGAGACCAATTTAATCAAAATCAGTGTTCCAAGAAGTAGGCTTCTTCACTCAGTTTTTGGGAAGGATGTATAAGAGTCTGATTCAGACTTTTACACACTCCCAGAGTCCTAATCAATTTTTAAAAAATGGATTAGGGATAGAGAACCTTTTAAGCTTTTTTGGTTCATTCTTATTCTCAGAAGATTTGCTCTTGATTGCTTTAAAACATTAACATATTGTAAAAAATCGCTTTATTTATTATAAAACAATTTGCTAAGTGCTAGATTATTTCTTCCTCCCCTTCCCCTCCTCCAAAGATGGGAATAGACTGGTAATAACCCATGCTCAGAGACTTGACAGACTTAAGAGTAATAATCCTGGTTTTACACGAGCTCTTTTCCTTTTGATTCTCTGCTGAATGTGTGACCTGTGGTACATCTGAGCTTCTATGATGTTTCATTTGGGGAACAACTTCTTTCTTTACAGGCCCGAGTGGCTAAGGGATGTACCATTATAAAGCCTTTCAACCTGTCCCAAGGAAAGAAAAGAAAATTTGATGAAACAGCTTCTACATATGTACCTATTGCACAGCAGGTCCAAGCCTTCTATAAAGGAACCCCTAACAGATATCACTTGAGGAGCAAGAAGGATGATATTAGTAAGTTTCTTACCGATATCATAGCTGGCTGGCGTCTCCCCTAGAATCCTTTTGCTGAATCTTAAGACACAAATTTGCCTTTAGTTGATATCCTAGTTTTTGAACTAAAGTATGGTATGTACCTATATGCAGACAACTAATTTAGCGTTGAGCATTTCCTCTAAACACCCAGCTGTCTCTTCATTCATGCCTATCAATCACCGTGATCCTTCTAGTCAGTAATGCAAGGGGAATCAAAGATTTTTTGCTATATATCAAAGTCTCATGGTGCATTTATTTATTCATTCAACGTTGTTGTGTGCTTTTTGTGTAGTGACTCAAATTTCTTTTACTACTACAAACCAAGTACTTTGTTGCGTGTTGAGGGTATAGAAGTGAACAAAATGGACTTGGTGCTACTCAACATCAAATTCTAATTCAGTGAGAGAGATGAACAAATAGATCATCACAAATTATTGTAAGTGCTATGAAAGTGAACGGAGATGTCAGAGTTTAAAAATGTGGGAGATAGGTAGAGTGTGCTGGCAGAGAAAGAAGTTGAAAATTGAGGAGAAAAAGAAGACAATCAATGGTTAAATCCCTGCACAGGCAGGTAGAGGAGGAATACTTATAGCTCTCATTCTCTGAAAGGAAGATGGAAGAGCGAGAAGAATGAGTGCAAATGCTGGTGGGGGTATACTAGTAGATTTTGTGGTGAATTCTCAAATTTCCATTTTTTGAGAGAATTCTCATAGTTTCCATTTTTTATGAAAATAATTACTATAAGAAGGAAGGTAAAAAAGTTTGAAAAATAGTGGTATAAAATAGTTGTCTAGTGTATAAGGCTAGCATTATGGATAAAGCAGAATCTGGTCATTTTAGCACTGAAGGTCTCAGTTTTTTCTGCCCTTTTGTAGGCATTGTTTAGTGCTGTGTCTGGTAGCCAGACAAGCTTAATACTGTTTATTTGTCAAATTTTATATTAATGAAAATAATAAAATATCTTTTTTTTTTTATCCTAATGGAAATTTAAATATTAAACATGACTTTTCAAATAATATATGACTTTTAGATTCAGATATATCCTGCTCTTATAATCTCAGTCCTGACAAATTACAGAAAGTAATTTTTATTTAAAACTTTTTACAGTGATAGCTATATAATGGTTATGTATATACTTAAAGTCTGGCTTCTTTGTAAAAGAAATAGATTTGGTTTCTACCTTACCACTTAATGTGATAAGATATGAATTAGAGAACTCATTTTACATAATAAAACTGACATGGTTGCCCCTGACTCAGCAAATCAGTATTTTCTATAAGTAGTAATAATGTTTTGTTTGTTTGTTTTAATTTTTATTGAATTTATTGGGGAACATTGGGCGATGGTCTTAACATTGATGCTTTGACATAGTTTTTTTTTTACTTTGTTCATTTAACTTTCTGTGAGAGGTAGTCTTGATACTTTTATATAGATATTTTGGAGTTATAAAATTGGGAATTATTACTTGGTCTTTAGAAAGGCCTTATTTTATTTTATTTTTTTTATTTATTTATTTTTTTTTTTAAATCAATCTTTATTGTTCATATTATTACAAAGGTTCCTCATTTCTTCCTCCCTCCACCAGGTTCCCACCCCACCCTCTGCCCCCTCCCCATCCCCCATTGTCCTCATCCATAGGTGCAGTTTATGTTCAGTCTCTTCTTCCCTCAATTTCCCCAATAGTAAATCCCTTTTCAGATAGTAAATCAGTTACTTAGCATTTTCTCAATATCAATAATACCTCCACATGCCCAATGATACACTTCACACAAAAGACATTTCCCAATAGGTCCACCAGCCTCATCCAGGCCCCACCCAAGGCACTCACAGATCAACACCCCAGTCCTAAACTAACTCAACACATCCAGATCTAAGCCTTCATCACCTGATTCAGCAGACCCTCAAGTTCCCACGAAAGTTTCCAGCCATGTCTGAGAAGCAGCTGTGGGGCAGGGGCAGGCAAGGAGCGAGCTGTTCTGGGCCTGGCTGCTCAGGGCCTGGCCTCTGTTGCTCTGGTTCATTCCACAACCAGCTGCTCCGGGTCTGGTCACTGCCGCTCCCGACCTAGTTGCTCTGGACTTGGCTGCTGCTGCTCCGGGCCTGGCCGCACCCGACCCGCCTGCTCCCCCGGGCCTGGCCGCTCCCAGCCTGGCAGCCGCTGCTCCGGGCCTGGCCGCACCCGACCCGCCTGCTCCCCCGGGCCTGGCCGCTCCCAGCCTGCAGCCGCTGCTCCGGGCCTGGCCGCACCCGACCCGCCTGCTCCCCCGGGCCTGGCCGCTCCCAGCCTGGCAGCCGCTGCTCCGGGCCTGGCCGCACCAGCCCGGCCTGCTCCCCCGGGCCTGGCCGCTCCCAGCCTGGCAGCCGCTGCTCCGGGCCTGGCCGCACCAGCCCCGCCTGCTCCCCCGGGCCTGGCCGCTCCCAGCCTGGCAGCCGCTGCTCCGGGCCTGGCCGCACCCGACCCGGCTGCTCCCCCGGGCCTGGCCGCTCCCAGCCTGGCAGCCGCTGCTCCGGGCCTGGCCGCACCAGCCCCGGCTGCTCCCCCGGGCCTGGCCGCTCCCAGCCTGGCAGCCGCTGCTCCGGGCCTGGCCGCACCCGACCCGCCTGCTCCCCAGGGCCTGGCCGCTCCCAGCCTGGCAGCCGCTGCTCCGGGCCTGGCCGCACCCGACCCGCCTGCTCTCCCGGGCCTGAGAAAGGCCTTATTTTAAAAGCTGGAATAAGAAAAATCTTGTCATTAATAAGCAAAATAGTTGGCACTGCCAATAGATAGGCAGTATAGGTCTGTGCAGTGATAAGGAATTTATCAGACATGGGTGGTTTTTAAGTTCAGAAGATAATAGTAGAGTTTACCAAAAGGCTACCGTCATCATACCCCTCAGTAAAGAGTGATAGGGCAGAAGGGACTGCATATTTGTCAGGTTGACTGATGTGAACTGAGCTGAATCTGGGCTGCCAAGATGAGTTAGCACCTATAGGTAAATGGGGTCTTGGGAAGCCAGGTGAATGTCTCTGATCTCGGTTTACAGCTCTATTACCCACCAAATCTACAGTGGCCAAGATTGTCACAGAACCACAGACTCCTGTGTTGCAAACCAAACAGCGCACAAGGCCTGTGACCTGCAAAAGTGCCGCGGATCTGGAGGCTGAGGAGCTCGAGAAACTGCAGCAGTGAGTACCAGAGTTTGAGGAAGAGTTTAAGAAACTGCCTACTCTCTCTTCAGTTCTGTAAATGGACAGTTGCTATTGTTCCTGCCATGGGAATTTATGGCATTTGAGTTATCAGCTCTGTAGGCTGTGTCCCTCCCTCAATGACAGTCTTGAAAGTGGGAATATAGAGATATCCTGGAGTGTAAACTAGTAAAAAGCACATGCAAAGGTTGGGATGGGAGAACTTATGATTCCAATTAGGGAGTGTCCTCTGGGGTTAGTTTAGGTAGATCCCACTTTCATGGCTACCCAAGGGATTGTTCAAGGGAGGAAACTGGAACTTAATGTGGTTAGCACTGGAGTTTGTCTCCTATACCCTCTTTCCATTTCTTTTTTTATTTTTTTTATTTTTTATTTTATTGATTTTTTACAGAGAGGAAGGGAGAGAGATAGAGAGCTAGAAACATCGATGAGAGAGAAACATCGACCAGCTGCCTCTTCTACACCCCCTACCGGGGATGTGCCTGCAACCAAGGTACATGCCCTTGACCGGAATCGAATCCGGGACCTTTCAGTCTGCAGACCGACGCTCTACCACTGAGCCAAACCGGTTTCGGCTCCATTTCTTTTTGTACTTCTTTTGAGAAGGGGGAGCTTCCCCTGTGAAGAGAAACCCCAATCGTTGAAGTAGTGGGAATGTTAGGATTTTCTTATTCTTTGCTGTAGAGGTAGAAATAATGGCTATGGAGAGAAATTTTGCTCTGCATGATGGCTAAGCTTAATGATTATTGTTTTTCTGTTTGGCTTGCTTTGTTGTTTATGTATTTTTTTTTAATTATTAAATTTTTGGGGGATGGCATTTAAATTCTCACCTTACAGATATAAATTCAAAGCAAGGGAACTTGATCCCAGAATTCTTGAAGGTGGGCCCATCTTGCCCAAGAAACCACCTGTGAAGCCACCCACTCAGCCTATTGGCTTTGATTTAGAAATTGAGAAAAGAATCCAGGAGCGCGAGTCAAAGAAGAAATTAGAGGAAGAACACTTTGAATTTCATTCCAGACCTTGCCCGACTAAGATCTTGGAAGATGTTGTGGTAAGAATGGTTGAGGCATGCTGACAAAATTGTCCTTCTTATGACCACATATCCACCCACTTATACATATTTGAATATATATGATCAGAGCCTCAAATTAGGAGTTGTAGGTGATAAAGAGACATATCAGAGGTGGATTTTGTTTTTAGGAAACAAAGTCCAATAAGGGAGACAACATATGTGTAAGTAATATAAAACGAGATAGATGTGTTCAAAGAGAGATGGCAGTTAAGAAGAATTATAGGAATTCAAAGGAGATAATGATTTCTTCTGTGCAGTGATAAGGCATTTATCTTATCTTTTTACTGGTGGAAGGTTCAGGGAATGATATTGGGAGGAGGAAGCATTTGACTTCATCCTTGACAATATGGAGTAATAGTCATCCTCATCATGTTGTCACTGTTGTAATAGCTGACACTCTCAGTATGTGCCAGGCACTGCTCTAAGCCCTTTTCATATATTAAGCCATTCATGTTGACCATGGTAGTTTAGTCCAGGTGGTTTAGTCTAATTATCTCCAGTTTTTGTTGAGGCAGTTGAGGCTCAGAGAGGTTAAGTAGCATTCCTAGGACACTTAGTCAATAAATGGTGGAACAAGGATAATAATTCAGGCACTTTGGCTCCAGAGTCCATGATCCTTTAATTATATTGCTTCTCCATTACAAGGTAGGATTTGTACTTGTAGAAATGCAAATGAACTCACGAGGCATTCCAGGCAGTGGGAGTGACAAAAAAAAGCCTGAAGGTGGAAAACGGGACAGCTACTGGAAACTTAGTGTGTCAGTTAAGCTGGAAAAAGGAAGTCTATTCTATATATTAAGAGGAGCAACTGGAAAACTAGATGTGAAAAGTGGGTTACTTTAATTTGATGTGGGGAAGAGATGTCACCGTCCAAGAATAAGGAATGGAGTTCAGCACCGGCTTAAGTGCAAAGATGGTTTTTAGGTGAATTTCCATGCAGATGAGGAAGCACCCTCTTCCCTTTGTTTGGATCTACTTATGTTCAGGTACTAAGGACATTGTTCCCCGTCCTCTTTCTTGTTTACCCTTTAGCATCACCATGGTTTCAAACGAAACTGTTCACCAGTGTATATTACCTTCAACGTTTGTTTATTCTGTTTTCTTAGTACTAAGTCAGAAGCAATTTGAAGTTATATTTTCCAGGCTTTAAAAAGCATGATAATGCTTAGAAATTGTTCTTCCCCTCTTCCTGTGCGATGTCTTTCAGTTGAGAACTTTCTGTATGAGACCTCTTTTCTATTCACAGTGATTGTTGTTTATTTTCTTTTTCCGTTTTTTGGGTATGATTCACATTTATTATAATGTCAAACTCTGTTACACAAACTTTATTTTATTTTACTTTAAAATAATTCTTTATTGTTGAAAGTATTACATATGTCCCTTTTCCCCTCATTGACCCTCTCCAGCCTGACCCCACCCCCGCCCCCAGCCTTCACCACCCTATTGTCTGTGTTCATGAGTTATGCATACATGTATGCAAGGTCTTTGGTTGATTACCTCCCACCCTCCCCCTGCCTTCCCTCTGAGATTCCGCACTCTGTTCCATGCTACCATGTCTCTGGATCCACTCCATTCATCAGTTTATTTTGTTACTTAGATTCCACATATGAGTGAGATCATTTGATACTTATTTTTCTCTGACTGACTTATTTCACTTAGCATGATACTGTCCAGGTCCCTCCATGCAGTCTCAAAGGGTAAGAGATCTATCTACCTTTCTTCTCTTCTCCTCTCTCCTCTCTCCTCTTCTTCTATTTTTCTCTTCTCTCTCCTCTCTCCTCTCCTCTTTCCTTTCCTTTTTTTTTTTTTTTTTTTTCTGCTGCATAGTATTTATTCCATGGTATAAATATACCACAGTTTTTTTTATCCACCTATCTACTGATGGGCAGTGGGACTGTTTCCAGATCTTAGCTATTGTAAATTGTGCTGCTATAAACATAGAAGTGCACACATTTTTTTCTGATTGGTGTTTCAGGTTTCTTAGGATATATTCCTAGAAGTGGGATCACTGGGTCAAATGGCAGTTCCATATTTAACTTTTTGAGGAAACTCCATTCTGTTTTCCATAATAGCTGCCCCAGTCTGGGTTACTACCAGCAGTGTTTCACAAATGTTAAAGAAATCTTCCAACTCAAGAACTAGTTTGTAAGAGCTGTGCTACCATGGTCATTAACTGCTGAGCAGCCTGTTCTGAATAGAGCAGGGGAGATGCAGACTTATTTGCAGACTTCAAATTGCTATTCATGCCCCCTGGTGGTCAGTGTGAGTTATAGCGACCAGCAATCAGCGCCAGATGGGCTCACTCAGTGTTTCATTCACACACTAGGAAACGGAAGCCCAGAGGAGAAAATGACTTTCTCAAGGCTTCTATAACATTCATTTGGCACTTTGCTTTTATTTTATTTTTATTTATTTATTTATTTTAAAGCATTCTTTTTCTTTTTAAATATATTTTATTGATTTTTTACAGAGAGGAAGGGAGAGGAATAGAGAGTTAGAAACATCGATCAGCTGCCTCCTGCACACTCCCTACTGGGTATGTGACCACAACCAAGGTACATGCCCTTGACCAGAATCGAACCTGGGACCCTTGAGTCTGCAGGCCAACACTCTATCCACTGAGCCAAACTGGTTAGGACTGGCACTTTGCTTTTAATAACATCTCTCAAGCACCTGGCTTTCCCCGCTGCTACAAGTTCTTGGGTGTTTTTTTTTTATTTAATACACATACCACCCTTTCAATTTTTGCTATATCCTTGTATCGCAAATACCAGTGTTGACATATTCTTAAAATTAACTCATTTTTAGCCGGGACCGGTTTGGCTCAATGGATAGAGCGTCGGCTTGGAGACTAAAAGGTCCCGGGTTCGATTCCGGTCAAAGGCATGTACCTTGGTTGCAGGCATATCCCCAGTAGGGGGTGTGCAAGAGGCAGCTGATCGATGACTCTCTCTCATCGGTGTTTCTAACTCTCTATCTCTCTCCCTTCCTCTCTATACAAAATCAATAAAATATATTTAAAAAAAAAAATTAACTCATTTTTAAAGGAAACATTTAAATCATCATGTAAATGGAAAACAAGTACTTTTTGGCATGAATAGCAATAGTAGCTACTACTTATATACAGCTTATTATGTGCCATGTTTTATTCTTGACTATATATTCTTATAATAACTGTAAGTGGTATATGTTATTGGTAGCATTTTCTATCCATTTTATGCTTAGGAAATATAGAGGTTAAATAACTTGCCTTAGATAACAAACTAGTCAATGCCAGAGCTAGAATATGAATCTAGGTAGTATGATTCCAGGTTTTATACTCTTGGAGCATCTATATATATAAAACCCTAAGCGAAATGATGACCACTGGTCGCTATAACTCACACTGACCACCAGGGGGCAGATGCTCAATGCAGGAGCTGCTGCCTGGTGGTCAGTGTGTTCCCACAGTGGGAGCACCACTCAGTTGATGGATGGGTGTCAGAGCCGGGCTCATGGATGGTGAGTGCAGCGGTGACGGGCGAGTGCAGCGGTGGCAGGTGTGAGCCTCCTTTGCAGCAGTGCTCCTAGCAGCAGAAGTCAGGAGGGGAGGTGGCAGGAGTGGGTGGAGCCCGGGGGCAGGATGAGCTGGAGCAGCCGTCCTGTGCTAAGGCTCCTCCCCCCTTTATGCATTACTACCTCCCTGGGCTGGAGGGGAGGGGGATGTAGGACTGCTGGTCTTGGCAGTCTGACATCCCCCTGACAGGCCCCTGATTGCGAGAGAGCACAGGCCATGCTGAGGGACCCACTGGTACACAGATCCGTGAACCGGGCCTCTAGTTCTTGAATAAGATAGAAGGTTCTTAAGAAAATATGTCATTATTAAAAATAAAAAAGACTATTCTATCTAACATCCTCTTCCATATACCTGAACTCCACTTTTAGAAACATTGATTTAAGATATTGGCTTGGCAGTTTGTTGTGCTTTGGAAGTAACTCGGGAGAAGTGTTAATTGGAGGAGGGTGACGTTAATTAGGAGTTAGTTGAGATCTTAGAGTAGTGTAGTACCAGGTATGCCTTGTTGAGCATTCTGGATAAACAAATCAGCAAAGCACTAGGTTAAACAAGTATGCAGCTGAATTGAAGTGCTATGCTGCAGGGAAGTGTTTGCCAAATCCAGCTGGTTCTCAGAATCCTCTGGGGATCTTATTACGTAAACAGGTTCCTGGGCCCCACCCCTGAAGCTTTTTATTTGTTAGGGGCAGCAAAGATTAGAGAGAGCCCAGTGAAGAATCTAGTGTCTGACACACTAAAGCAGTCACATTGTTAATAGTAATAACTGTCTTATTGCATGCATACATTGTACCGAGTGTTTTTTTTCTAAGTGTTTTATGTATTATAGATTATCTTATTATAATTCTTAAGAGGTAGGTTCCATTTTTATACCTACTTCTCAGGTGAGGAAAGATGCTCAGACGTGTCTCATATGCAGAACCAGAATTTGAATTGTCATTTTTAAAAAATATATATTTTATTGATTTTTTACAGAGCGGAAGAGAGAGGGATAGAGAGTTAGAAACATCGATGAGAGAGAAACATCGATAAGCTGCATCTTGCACAACTTCCATTAGGGATGTGCCCGCAACCAAGGTACATGCCCTTGTCCGGAATCGAACCTGGGACCCTTCAGTTCGCAGGCTGACGCTCTATCTACTGAGCCAAACCGGTTTCAGCTGGACTGTCATCATTTAAAAATAATATTTTTATTGGTTTCAGAGAGGAAGGGAGAGGGAGAAAGAGATAGAAACATCAATGATGAGAGAGAATAATTGATTGGCTGCTTCCTGCACGCTCCCTATTGGGGATCGAGCCCACAACCTGGGCATGTGCCTTTACCAAGAATTGATTGTGACCTCCTGGTTCATAAGTCAACTGCTCAACCACTGAGCCACACTAGCTGGGCTAAACTGTCATCTTGGTAAGCACTATCATCCTATCCCACAATGCTATTATCATTGTGAATTTTGGCAAACACAGTGTTTGAGTTTGATGCTAGCTATTTTCAGCTCTCCTAAATTTCCAGTGATTTCACTTCGACTGATGGTTTCTAGAAAAGCAAAGCATAGGAGACATTAGATGTATTCTCTTTCACTCTTCTTTGTTTTTTTAGAAAGGGAAGCTCAGGAAGAGGAATGTGGCTTGCCCATTTTTGAAAGTTGTTGGCAGAACTGAGATTAAGTCTCTTAATTCTACTCTTGGGCTTTTGGAATAGCACGGAAGAGCCTGCCTTCCAGAGCCCAAATGCATCTTGTCTGTCTGTCACTATTGTTCCCCATTCATGTCCTCTGGGTGCTCAAGCTGCTTTCTCTGTCTCCTTCTGGTGTTTCTCGGGCTTTCCCACCTGTGGTTGGTAGGCGGCAAGGAGACAGCAGTCGGCCATGAGGCAGAGATGAAATAACGGTTCTTGGGAGAGAGGTGGAGTGATGAAAGCCTTGAGCTCCAGGGTGTGAAATGGGAACTTGGTGCCGACATCTAGTGGGAGAGCTGGGGCACCACAGAGGTGGATACGGTGTCAGTGAGGCCGGAGAGTAATTTTAGCAGTGATATTTTAGGGATGACTTGGGGAGACCAGCACGATTTCACCCTTACCCCCTCGTATCCCTGAAATAACATTGCTTCACAGTAATTTCCCAACTGCTCTGGGACAGGCCCGAGATTTTGTCCCACGGGACTTGGGGATATATCCCGCCTTATAAAGACATGCTTACCCCATTATACTTTAGCTGCATTTCTGCTAGATTTCTTTATAGCACTTGTGAGAACCTGGAAATAATTGGTTTATTACTTTTTCATTCTCTTTCTTCCACTAGAATGTGAGTTCCCTGAGAGCAGGGGCCATGAATATCTGCACTGTTCCCTTCTGTATCCCTAGAACCTAGCATCACAGCATAGGCACTCCAATATTGGATAACTGAGTGAGTGACAGTACAAGCTGAAATGCTCTCGCCTGTGTTTCTAGCCTGTGGTAGGCACCGGGAATTCAGAGATGGAATGCAAAACAGCCCTGGTCCTGAGAGCTTTCAGTGTGGCTGGTAGAGCAGATTGACATATAAGCAAATTAGTCAACCTTGTATTTATTCGACAATTACTTCTTGTAGGTTCCTTTGAGAATGCAGTTGGCAACATCCCTGCTCTTAAGAAATTTAAAATGGCAAAACAAGAAGCCTTTTTTGTTTCTAAAAACCCCAGTTTTTTATTTCTGATTGAGCCCTCAGTTGGCTTTGATTGCAGTGAGGAATGAGATGTGGGTGGATGGTTGCTGCAAAGTTGATTTTAATAAATCACCTTTCCCTCTCTCTAAACTAGTTTTGAGGATTGATCCCATTGGTAAACATCTTTTTCATGGCTGACTTGTTAGAGGTTTCCATTGCTTTTCTTAAAAAATTTTTTAAAAAAAATTTATTTTAGAAAGAGAGGGAGGGAAGGAGAAAGTGGGGTGAAGAGAGAGAGAGACATTGATTTATTTTCCCACTTATTTATGCATTCATTTGTTGATTCTTGTATGTGTGCTGACCAGCAACCTTGACACATAGGGATGACGCTCTAACCAATTGAGCTACCCAGCTAGGGTCTCCATTGCTTTTCTTTTAAAATGCATGTCTCTCTGTTGGGTGGATTTAGAGAGAGGAAAAAAAATAGGGAAAGAGGCATTATTTTACAATGAAATGAGTCCTCAGATATTTATTTCCAATATTTTGCTTAATGAAAAGAAAACAAACAATCTGAGGTCTGAAGGCTATGTGATGCACCTAAGGTTATAGCAATTGCAATCAGAGTTGGGTGGAAACAGATTTCTGGCAGCCTCTTGCCTAAACATGCCATGGGGAATGTTTAGGCAAGAGGCTGGTGTCCATTTGTCCAGGGTGTTGTATAACAACAGGTTTTATGGTAAGCATTACTTAAAAATCCCATTTCATGGACTTTTGTTACTCAGATGACAAATTCTGCAATATTGGATTTCACTGTGCTTGAGATCTTGGCTTTATTTAGGAATCAAAAGAACTTTCACATCAGAATGAGCATTCCCTTTATAGTGGTCACCATAGGAGGGTATACATTTTTCAAATGATTGATATTGTGCAAAACATTTTGGAAAAGCCATTTGTCTTAGAACCTGTGGCACAGTCTTTGGATTTCTTCAGGAATGGCAAATCTTCATATTTCAAAGATTAATTTGCTTTTAGAAGCTTTTCTAAAGTCATTTGGAACTAGAACTTCAGAGTAGTCCAAATTAATAGGCCTGGAAACAGTTTTGTTTCATTAAAAGTACAGATTGAGTTACTACCTTGCTTGGTCCCAAAATTGGCTTTGAAAGTCACTCAAGAAAGTTATTCCAAAGACGTTTTTGAGCAGTTGCAGCATTGTAGGGATTAAGGAGAAGTCTCCAGATGTAAATTTGAGTCCAAAGCATAAATTCTGTTATTCTTACTATATTCTTTCAACAAACATTTGCTGAATGTTTGGTTTTATACTTGCCAAGGTTAGGGATTGATGAAATGCAAGTCCCCACTCCTGGAGACTCATTGGCTCACACAAGCAGATGAACATCTAAATAAACAAATGCAATGAAGTTCTGTATGTACTGTGATAGAACTGTGCACAGGGAGAGAGGCGGCAGTTCTGCAGGTTCTGGGAGTTTGAGCATCTATTGAAAGGCTTTATAAAGAAGAGATGCTTCTGTGGAGATGTGAAAAGAAGGGTTAAGTACTTCAAAGCAGCTGAGAGAGAGTGCACAAGAAAAGGCATTGAATTGAAAACCACTGTTAATTTTGGCAGTTGCCAGTAGTTCATTCATGCAAGGAGTTAAGACTGGAGAGTCAGGTAGGGTATCAGATTATGAAGCACCTTGTACTTCATGCCAAGGCATTTGTTATACTGTTGTAGGTAAACGGAGGGACACATTAAAGAATTTAAATCAGGAAGTAATATATCAGGTGTGTTTTGAAAAGTAATTCTGACTACGGTATATACAGAGGATGGATTGTAGTGATGAGATGAGGAGCTGAAAAGCCTTTGAGAAGGCTGGTGAATGTTATAGGCAATTGATGATGTGGCCTGCGGTAAAGTGGTGCCGAGTTTAGAGAGGAGACAGTAGAGAGCTGATGGGCAACATTAGCATGGGAGAGAGGATTTTTTAAAAATTGACCTGGTTATACACTTCATTCAAAACAATAGCCCAGGAGCTAACATTTTATAGTTAGTATTAATTCCTAGATTGGTGATAGAGTATAAGTGCTTATGAAATGAACATTTAAAAAAATTTGTTTTTGAGGGATTGGGGTATAGGAAGGAAGAGAAACATTGGCATTAGTTTGTTTTCTGTTATCAGTAATATTTTTCATAAGTTTTGTTTTAAACATTGTCTTATTTCAACCTTATCAATGGTTTTCTGCAATTATATATGTTTGACTTTTTTTTTATTAATATATTTTATTGATTTTTTTCAGAGAGAAAGGGAGAGGGAGAGTTAGAAACGTCGATGAGAGAGAAACATCGACCAGCTGCCTCTTGCACACCCTGCAACCAATGTACATGCCCTTGACCGGAATCAAACCTGGGACCTTTCAGTCCGCAGACGGACGCTCTACCGCTGAGCCAAACCGGTTTCGGCTATTTTTCATAAATTTAAAAATAAGATTTTGATGAATTCTGTTTTTACTGAATATGCAACTCTATGTCCTTAGTATTTGCCTCTCTTCTATTATGATATTCCATCTTTGCAGTGCTACTGCAGATTTGATATGCCTTTGTCTTAGCTGGGTAAATAACATACTGAAATACTAGCTTTTTTTTTTGATTCCTGGTTTTGTGAACTTCCCTTTAAGACAAGGATTTAATCTTAACTAGTGGAGATCATCCTGGGATGTCTAATTGAGTTGTTTACTCCTTCCAGGGTGTTCCTGAAAAGAAACTACTTCCAATCACTGTCCCCAAATCACCGGCGTTTGCATTAAAGAACAGAATCCGAATGCCCATCAACGATGAGGTGATTGCCTGGGATGGGGATTTCTTCCTTTTGCATAATCAGTCTAAGCATTACTCTTTCTTTTTTTCTTTTTTAAGTATATTTTATTGATTTTCCACAGAGAGAAAGGAAGAGGGATAGAGAGCTAGAAACGTCGATGAGAGAGAAACATCCACCAGCTGCCTCTTACACACCCCCTACTGGGGATGTGCCCGCAACCAAGGTGCATGCCCCTGACTGGAATCGAATCTGGGACCTTTCATTCCGCAGACCGACGCTTTACCACTGAGCCAAACCAGTTTCGGCAGCATTACTCTTTCTTAAAGCTTACTGGAACTCAAAGGCAGTCACTCTTGTCCGGAGTTGTCTTCAGCAGTGGGCATAAACCTTTTATCATCTCTTTTGCTCCTCCTACAGCAAAGTGATTGGCATGAATCTTCTGGCTTGAAGTGGTAATTCTTTGCAACTTATTAGAGGCTTGACTATATAACTGTATAACAAGAAAAAACACAGGTTTTTTTTGTTTTTGTTTTTTTACAATGGTAGGAAAATTAGTCTACCATTGTAATGTGGATTAAAAGTTGCTTATCCCTGTCCTCTATGTTGCCTGAGTTGTTGTCACCATTCACTGAAGGACTTTTTTAAATGTCATTTATTTTAAGAGAGAGACATTGATTGTTCCACTTATTTATGCATTTATTGGTTGCTTTTTGTATGTGCCCTGACTGGAGAGTGAACCTGCAACCTTGGTGTATTGGGACCGATGCTCTAACCTACTGAGTTACCCTGTCAGGGCACTGAGGGACTTTAAAATTCACACCAGGCCTAGTGATTGGGGTATAGAATGTTAACCAGGTTGTTAACATTCACCCTGTCCTATCACCGTTAATCTAATGGCTGCAAAGGTGACTGTGGGGTGATGGATCATGAAACTGGAATACATAAACTGATATTGACCAGGCTAGTGCCCTGTTACATCTCCATCCTCCTACATAATAAAAGCCTAATATGCAAATTGACTTAACAGTAGAGCGACCAGTTGCTATGATGTGCATTGACCACCAGGGGACAGATGCTCAATGCAGGAACTGCCCCCTGGTGGTCAGTGCACTCCTATAGGGAGCGTGCCCCTCAGCCAGAAGCCAGGCTCATGCCTCTGCTGCAGGTGGGCGGAAGGATCGAGGAATCTCAGGCTGTAAGAGCCCCAGACTGTGAGAGGGATGTCTGACTGCTGGCTTAAGCTGGCAAGCGGAAAACCCCCCGGGGTCCCAGACTGTGAGAGGGCGCAGCTGGGCTGAGCTGAGGGACACACACACACACACACACACACACACACACACACTCCCCCTTGAATGAATCTCATGCACCAGGCCTCTAGTTTTATCCATAAATATCCAGAGTTGGGGTAATTTTATAGAGATCTTACGCATAAGCCATTTTATGTGGGATCATTTGAAACTAAAATACACAGTAATCTCATGTTGCCAGCTTGAACCCAAACAATTTAGTCCTATTCCGGGTTTGACGACCCATTAATTCCCCAGTCACATGTTTTATTGGAGTCTGGATGGAGGTTGGGTCAAATAGGAGGTCAAGGTGTGTGTACCTTTCTTCTGTTCTGCATTTTATTCACACTGATTAATTTTATTTGTTACAACCTTCCTGTGAAAGACTTTAGATTTTTAATTGTGTTAGACCTTTATAAAATACTTTCATATTGGTCTCACCCAACTTTGCTACACAGGAAACTAAGACACCTAAGAGACTGAGTGATTTGCCTTAAGTAATGACTTCTGTCATATAGTGTCTTCTGACTTTCCATTCTGAGGAGGTAAGAGTGAGCAGTTTTGTTTCTAAACTGTGTTTTTTCTTGTAGGAAGAGGAGCCGGTAGTGGTAAGAAGAACTCAACCTCGGGCACATTTGGGGGTACCTTTTAAGCCCCAAATCCCAGAGGCAAAGACTGTGGAAATATGCCCTTTCTCATTTGATTCTCGAGACAAAGAACGTCAGTTACAGAAGGAGAAGAAAATAAAAGAATTGCAGAAAATGGAGGTAGGTATTTTCATTTCTGTCAGTAGCTTAACACAATTCTTTGATCCCTCAATGATAACCTTTTATGTTGCACTTTTTAAAAAGTCACTTCCTTTGGTCTCTTTTTGACAACCTTAAGAAACATAAAAAGGGCAAGTAATTTTAATAACCTTTGTAGATCAAGTGACTTGTCCATGATTATGTTGCCATTGCAGGCAATACCAGTATTGGGAGAAAACCTGTGTTCCATTACTCTTTTTAAAAAAAAATGTTTTAATTGATTTCAGGAAGAAGGAGAGAGAGAGAGAGAGAGAGAGAGAGAGAGAGAGAGAGAGAGGGGAACATATCAATGATGAATCATTGATTAGCTGCCTCCTGTACACCCCCCTACTGGGGATCGAGCCCACAACAAGGAATCGAACCTGGGACTCTTCAGCCTGCAGGCTGATGCTCTGTCCATTGAGCCAAACCGGCTGGGACCCTTTTCTCTCTTTTTAGATTTAGATTCATCCAAATATTCTCGTGTAGTTATTGCTTTCTGGCTAGAAAGGCTTTATCTTAAATCTTATGTTTTCTTTTATATCAGGTGCCCAAGTTCAAGGCACATCTTTTGCCTGATTTTGACACTGTTAACCTGCCAGAGAAGAAGGTGAAGAGTGTAACCCAGACTGAGCCTTTCTGCTTGGAGACTGACAAAAGAGGTGCTTTAAAGGCACAGACTTGGAAGCACCAGGTGAGGGTTTGGGAGAGCAGCTAGTATGTAAATGATGATTTGTTGGTTTGTTAGAATGGGTACCCATAACATTGAAATTCATCTCAGAACTAACACAATAGATTATTTCAGAGTCTCTGCTCTAAATTGGGTCAGCAAACTTTTTCTATTAAAAAAAAAAAAGAGAGATTGTAAATACATATTCTAGGTTTTGTAGGCTGTATACGATCTGTCATATAGTGTGTTTGTGTGTGTGTGTTTGTGTGTGTGTGTGTGTGTGTGTGTAACTCTTTAAAATTGTAAAAACCATTCTTAGCTCAAAGAGTTTGTAAGCTGGCTGAAGTTGCTGATCCTGGCTCTAAGTGCTCATCTGAGGAATGTGAGAACTGATAGGCTTTCTTTGCATATGGAGTTTCTTTATATATTAGACTGTTTACATGCTCACTCGTTTCTGTTGGTGCTTAGATAAGAGATAGAATAGTGAGAATAGATTCTCAGTACGGTATGTCTTTTGTCAGCATAGTGTGCTCTTTGCTCTTTATAGATGACAGATTGTTGGCTGTTTAATTGGAATCTAATTCTGCCCTATCTGGGAAAAAATTTTTCCTGAACCCCCACATTTGTTGGTATTTTTATATTGTCACTTATCTTACACTCTCTCCCGAAGGAGCTCTGGGCTAATTTTTTGAAACCTAAGAAATGTGACTGCTAACCTGACTGAGCAAGAGTAGGCCTCTTGTTGTTGTTTTTTAGGAAAAATTGAGATTGTTGCTTTGAAAGTACTAGTGAATCTCTCTTGCAAGGGCCGAGACACAGAATATCTGTGGGGGTTATTTTCCATAATAAAATTTTTTTTCAAGATTTACAGACATATACAAAATAGAATAGTATAGTGAACTTTCATTAACCTATAACCTGGTTCTATAGTGATCAAAACATAGAAAAATCTTACTTTATATGTGCTTCTACTTATCTCTACACTGGATACTGCTACCTACACAGGGTTACTTTGAAGCAAATCTTTATTTCATCTCATTTCATCCAAAATATTTCAGTGTATATCTTTAAAATATAAGGATTAAAAAATATAATCACAACATTATTATTGTAGTAAAACATTAACAATAATTCCTTAATAGTGACAGGTAGTCAGCATTTATATACCCCCAAATTTCATAATTTTTTTAAATGATTGAATTGCTCAAATCAAGATCCAAATAAGGTCCACGTATTACATTTGTTTAATAAATCCAAATCTCTTTTAATCTATAAGCTTGTCTACTTGCATTTTTTTTGTTGAATAAACCGGATTATTTGTCCTATAGATTTTCCATAATCTGGATTTTGGTCATTGCATTCTATGGTGTTGCTTAATATGTTCCTCTGTCTTCTGTATTTTCTGCTGATGAGTAGTTATATTAGGAGGATTGATTAAACTCTGGTTAGGGTTTTGTGTGTTTTTTTTCCAGGGGGCTTGAGAGGGAGAATACAGATGATCACATCTGGGGGTATATAATGTCTATTTTTGGGGTAGGTGTTAAGATAAGGTCTAAAAATTATAATTGATCCTTGAACAACTAATTTGAACTGCACAGGTCCACTTCTACGTGGATTTTGTCAATAAGTACTTTGAATGTATTTTCCTTATTTTCTTAACATTTTCTCTAGCTTAATTTATTGTAAGAATACAGTACTTAATACATTTAACATACAAAGTATGTTTTAATTGACTATTTATGTTATTAGTAAGGTTTCCAGTCAAGAATAGGCTATTATAGTAGGTACAATTGGGAGGTCAAAAGTTATATGAGGATTTTCAACTCTGTGGAGTGTTGGTTCCCTACTCTCCATGTTTTTTGAGGGTCAATTGTATCATAAAGATAATTTCTAATTCTCAGTGGATTTAGATGTTGTCAGTCTGATCTACTCATTGTAGATGAAATCCTCTGCTGTCTTTATTGCTGAAGCAGTTAGAAACACTAGTGCTTGAATCATGGAGGTGGTAGTGATGGCAGGTTGTCTGACAGGCTTTCTTTCTTATAGCTGGAAGAAGAAATGAAACAACAGAAAGAAGCAACTTGCTTCAAGGCTCGTCCAAACACCGTCATCTTCCAGGAGCCCTTTCTTCCCAAGAAAGAGAAAAAATCCATGACTGGTAGTATTATATGTACTCTTGGGGAATTGGGACAACATTGTCAGACTTCCCAGGGGGACGCCTGGGACTCAGTTGTGTCCGTATAATGCTGTGGCAACCAGAGCATTTGCCTGTAGAGGATCTACTTTTTCCCCTCCTTGACCCCGTCTTTTGAACCCAGCAGCTATGTTTAGTTTCAGAATACATTGGGGCCATATTCATAGAGTAAGATCCTGGGCAGAAAAAGCTAGTATGTAAATGATGATTTGTTGGTTTGTTAGAATGAGTACCCATGACATTGAAATTCATCTCAGAACTAACACGATAGATTATTTCAGTAATAGTTAAAGGCTTTGCCCACCTAAAGAGTTGTAGTAAGTGAGGGAGGGATAGCCAGGACCTCTTTCTGGAGTTCACCCTGAAGCAAGCCTTAGATACAGAACATTTGCTTCCATAAGTGCTGGGTAGGTTATCAGAAAATTGGGGTTCTTCTACATCTATCTGTCTGAAAATCACAATGTGGTTTTAAGCAAGCTACTTCACCTATTTGGGTCTTGCTTTTCTCCTAATTAGTTGATTTTTAGGGGCCCTTCCATGTCTTAAACTTCTAAGACTCCCATTTTCAGTAAGGCTTCCTTAGCGCTCAGCCATTCTATTGACATGCATGTCTGAGCCTCTTGCTGGCTCTATGGGGTTCAGGTTTATGCAAGTCCTGCTTGAGTACCAATATTCTCTCTGTTTCTGTACTCAGAGAACCTTTCACTAGTTCAAGAACCTTTTCAGCTCGCTACTGAGAAGAGAGCCAAAGAGCGGCAAGAGATGGAGAAGAAAATGGCTGAGGTAGAAGCCCAGAAGGTCCAGAAGTTGGAGGAAATCAGGCAGCAGGAAGAAGAGCAGCAGAAGGAGGAGCTGGCCAGGCTCCGGAAAGAACTGGTACGTGGGCAGCAGGCGCGCTGACTAACCCGTGACTGTCTCTGTTTTGTTTTCCCTGTACCTTGCTTGTTTCAGAAAGGACCTACGGTGGCAACAAGGACACATCAAAGACAGGGGAAGTGGGAAACCACACAAATCAAGGGTGGTAACAAAGTGGAGATGTGAATGAGGCTTAAGATCTGTACATTGTGATCCATGTATCTGCTAAGTTTCAGACATAATTTTGGTCCTTTTTAGGAACCAACCTGTCAGTTATATAACTCACAATGTTCATGCGATAAAAGCAAGCTAGTTGTTAAAATAATACATTTATCCTTAGTATTGTACTCAGACAGTTTCTTCCAGGGGTCTTCATAACGAGGAAATCATGGCATAACTATTCACAGTGATCATTAACTTATTTTTATTATTTCTTTTTAAAAAAATATATTTTATTGATTTTTTACAGAGAGGAAGGGAGAGAGATAGAGAGCTAGAAATGTCGATGAGAGAGAAACATCGACCAGCTGCCTCCTGCACACCCCCTACCGGGGATGTGCCCGCAACCAATGTACATGCCCTTGACCGGAATCGAACCCGGGACCTTTCAGTCCGCAGATCGACGCTCTACCCCTGAGCCAAACCGGTTTCGGCTTATTTTTATTATTTCTTAAGGTTTAAGAGAACCAATGCATTTTACAATTAGACAAGAATACATAATTAGGGAAGAACCATGATAATTGGGCAGTAACTATATTTTCCTTTTCCTTTTAATACTTGATTCAAATTCCTTGGAGTAATAGTGCATATCAGTTCACATGAACCTCTGTGCTAACACTAGCGTAATGATTTAAATATTAGTTATCCAAAAAGAAAGCTTAATTCACATTCAGGACCCTTTCACTAGGAGGGCAGCAAGCCACATTAACTGCATCAGTGAGAAAAAAGACTGCCCCCTGCACACCCCCTACCGGGGACGTGCCCGCAACCAAGGTGCATGCCCCTGACGGAATCGAACCCGGGACCCTTGAGTCCACAAGGCCGATGCTCTAGCCCCTGAGCCAAACTGGTTTCAGCAAAAGACAGTTTTAGATGAAGCTTCATATGATTAATAAAAATGACTATGGACATAAGTTGTTGAAGTTTTGTCTAAAAGAGCTAAGCCAACAGCTGATACTGTGGTTGGCAGAGGTGACTTATGGCTGCAGAAAGGGACTAAGCACAAACTATTAAAGGGACTAGCTTCTCGGTAAAATTCAGGCTACCATTTTCTGATTGAATGAAAAACAATACATTCCCCACTCCTGATATACTCACAAAACCAACCTTTTTTCATCCTCATGCTCTCTGATTTTTTCTTCAACACTTGTTAACTTCTGCTTATGTTTGTCCCCATCATGGAGCTGTTTCTTACAGCGAGTCTCAGTGTAGGCTGATAGCACGGTTCTGTCAGGGCTAGTTAACTCTTATTAGTCTGGCTTGACAGGATTGATTGTAGACGAAGCATGTCAAACTCTCGGCCCGCAACGAATGTTTTTGTGGCTCAGCCAATATAACGGTATATAAGAAACATTTTAATAAAAACTTCGTGACTTAGTTTTTACAATATCCTGTTATATATAATTATTAATAACAAACAGCAATGTTCGCTAATGACTGATTACTATAACCATGTTGCATTAATTTCCCTTATGCGTCTTACGCGCAGGCGCACCATTTCTCTCCACTAATACTGGCAGCGAATATTTTAGCAGCCGATTGCCACGTCATTAGTCCTTGTAGTGACTTGTTTGGTGTGCGCAACAGGAAATATTTCTCTTTCGGAGAACAAGAAAAATAGGTTTATTTGCATTACGCTTATTAATCTGTGCATTTATTCAGTGTCTGGTAAGTTAATATTCAAGGGAAAATATTAATTTTTATTAAAACATCCTATTACTTTATGTTAACAATTACTCATTTCAGCCCTTTGTATTCAGTGTGTCTCTATCGAAATAAACCTACGTGCTGGGACCGGTTTGGCTCAGTGGATAGAGCGTCGGCCTACGGACTAAAAGGTCCCGGGTTCGATTCCGGTCAAGGGCATGTACGTTGGTTGCGGGCTCATCCCCAGTAGGGGGTGTGCAAGAGGCAACTGGTCGGTGTTTCTCTCTCATCGACGTTTCTGACTTTCTGTCCCTCTCAATTCCTCTCTGTGTAAAATCAATAAAATATATTTAAAAAAAAAAAAAAAAAAAAAAAGAAATAAACCTACGTTTCTATGAAAATTGAAGCTTTTGTTTTTTGCGGCCCACATAAACTTAAACCTTGTTTATTTGGCCTGTGTTAGCCCTTGAGTTTGACATGCATGTTGTAGACTGCCCAAAGGATAACGGGACCAGGTATTCTTTCAGCAGTCCTTCCTGGTTACTGTTTTTTTTTTTTTGGTCTGTTTCTGTCTATGCGTTTAGTGACTATTAGGACTCAGTAAGCTTAAGGCTGTACTTTAGCCAATTCTTAACATGGATCTCTTTTCTGCTACAATTGAGTACTGCCCCATCACATCCTAATAATAAACACTCAAACTGGAGATGGGTTTGATATCCTTTAGTGTAAGCTGAGGGATGTAGCAAGACATGAAAGAAACCTACTTGGGCTCCAAAGCTCATGTGCTTTTCCATTATACTGTGTTTGCCTCCCTGCCCGCCCCCCTCCCCCACCTTGGGTTATTGACTGGGATCTGTAAGACTTACAAACATTTTCTCAAGAAAAAGCAAACAACTACAGTGTAGTTTTCTAACATCAGTATCAGTGCTGACTTTATTTTCCTTCCTTTGCAGGTGCACAAGGCAAACCCAATACGCAAATACCAGGGTGTGGAGATAAAGTCAAGTGACCAGCCTCTGACGGTGCCTGTATCTCCCAAGTTCTCCACTAGATTCCATTGCTGAACTCAACTGTGGCTGCAGACACTACTTTGGAGCTGCTTTTTCCATCACAGCGTGCTTTGTCACAGTGGTATGGAGAGGACGCATTTCTTCAGACTTTTACCTCCCCATGCCAACAGAGCATACTAACAAGTGTGGACTCTGATTCTGTTGAGAATTGTTATCTTGTATTATTGAGGCTGATAATGAGACTCAACTCATACATATCTCGATCAGACTCCCTGTAGTTATTTCCTTTGGACCATCAGTTGACCTTTAAAGTGGGTTTTAACTTGGACTAGAACTTGAAGTCTTTATATCAGCACTATGTAATTTCCATTGCCCCCCCCCTTTTTTTTTCTTTTCTATTTTATGTCAGAAAATAAAGATAGTTAATTACGGAGATAGGATTTGAGTCATGGCTTCAGTGAGGAACAGTCAGTATATCAAATTCCTCTTCTCTGCACAAAATGAATTTCAAGTTGAGCTCTTTGCTGTAAGGGAAAGCCTCATTAACTGCACAATAAGGAAGAAGACGGTGTGGACTGCTGGGAGCCTCACAGTGGCCATCGGCAATCTTTGGGCAGAGCTGCTGCTACTAAGGCACATTCTTCCCTTATTGGTGCTGATAATGATGGCGATGCCATGCAGCCCATGTTTTAAGTTCGTCGGAAACCTGGACTGGAAGAAATATGTTTGTCTTTCTCGCCCTGGTTCTTTCCTTGTAAGTGTCAGCTCAACTAAACATTTTTAAATAAATCCTTTCTTGATCATATGACCTCCTTAGATAAGGATGATCACTTTTTTTTAGTGCCTCCCACATGTTTCTTGTGTGTGTCTCTAATACAGCAATTACTCCGAGTTACTTGTACTTGTTTATAAACTAGTAGAGATACAGGATACAGGTATCTAAAATTACCTTAGTCATCTCTGTATTTCTTGTAGCTGGCACAGTATTTGCTAGGTCCATGTTAAATAGTATATTTTCTTTTAGACTTGACATTATTTATGAACTCTGTTGCATACTAATCATATCTGTCTAGGCCAGTCCTAGGTACCATATTAAACCTATATCCCTTTTGTTTATTCATTCAGTGAGCATTGTGTAGATTCAACAAGATATGATTTGCAGGCCCACAAACTGTAAAATATGGTTCCTTTATTCACTTAGATGTATATGGTATACAGTTCCATAACTACTTATGTGGTTCATTTAACAATATTAATTTGGTACCAACTACATATAACTTGGCATTGTGCTGGTCTCTAGAAATATAGCAGTGACCAAAAATAGAAGACCTTGCTTTCATGGAGCTTACCTTTTTTTGAGGGGAGACGGACAATAAGCAAGTAACTGTTCTGTCAGTGAGAAGTTTCCCTGACTGACTGCTGTGTGGAGAATAGACGAGGGCAGGGAGCGGGGCATGTGAGAAGGAAACGGGAAAGTTGAGGTTCTTGATATAATCTAGGCGAGAGCTGGCAGTGGCCCTCGGGCTTGCATGGTAGCAGAGAAGGTGGTGAGAAATGGTTGGATTCTGAGTGGATTCTGTAACTGATAAAGATGTGCTAACAGATTGGACCTGGAGAGTAAGAGAAAGGGGAGTTAAGGAGGACATGCAAGTATCAACCCCAAACAGAGTTCTCCGTCCCTTGTGCCCTGAGAAATCCAATTCTATCCCAGTCCTCGGATCTCGTGGGCTTTCTGGGGGCTTCCTTATTATTATTTTTTCTAGTCACCTCTTGCTTTGGTTTTTAACTTGTGTTCATCTCTTGATCCCCTCTCTGTCCTGTGGAGCTTTTCTACCTACCTGTACCAGCCTTTCCTTTCTGACAGTTCACTGTCCTCCATATATTCCCATCTGGGATCATTTTTGTTGTTGTTCATTTCTTGTTTTTGGTTGTTTCATGGAGAATAAATCGGACCCTCCAGTTGAGGGTTTGGGAAGAGCATTATTGAGAATTACGGGCCTTTGGCATCCTTTATCCCAAATAAAGGATTTTTTACTTCCTTCTGGGTTACCTCCTCCAGAAACACCTGTGTCAGAGTGGAGTGTGTTTTAGAAGCAAACAAATAACTTGAAATTGAAACACAGATATCCATTGCCTCTTGCTTCCCAGAATTTCTCAATTTTCCAGTGGCTCTCTTTTCTCCTTAGCACTGCCTGTCTAGTATTGAGTCCTCTCTCTACTACCTCACATGACATTCATTTTTCTAGTACAGTCTCCCATTTTCCCTGAAACTTTCCACTTTTTTTTCCTCCTCAGATATGCCAGGGGTTTATTAAAGATGCCCTATACACACATTTGCTACTAAAAATTGAAATAGGACATCAAAAAATGTTACAACTCCAATAAGTACAATAATTAAGGTGTATATCTAAATGGCTCCATACCATAATTGTCAATAATACGATCAAGAGGACCTGGATATAATAGGCAATGACTACAGCCACATTTAAATTCTGGTTTATTCAGATGCAAGGTGCGATATTTAATAGCATCCATCCTTCATCAAAGCCTTTCATCTCCTTCATTTCTTTCTGAACACTTGCCACTGTCCTCCTCCATGTCTCGTGTAAAGCATGCCTTGGTTCAGCCCCAGTCCTGACGCCTTCAGGTTATTTCCTATGTCCTGCTGTTGGGGTGAATGTTTTGGTGGAAGGGAAGGGAATTAGGTACGAGGGTTGAGAGTCAAGTTACTAAGGTTCTGTGCTAGTCCTGAGATAGCTTGAGTGCCAGCTGAGTATCCTCCTCCAGGCATCTGAGAAAACTCCTGTGTCCAAGGTATGTTACTCTTTGTTGCTGAGTCCATTGGAAGTTTAGTCACAGCCTAGATTCTGTCCAAAAATAGCTCATGCAGAAGGTGATGCTAAAAACTCAAATGGATTCAAAGTCTCCACTTCTATTTTACAGAAAAATTCAGGTTCTTCAATCCCTTCACACCATGTCTTAGAAGGAGCCTCTCAGCACTCCGAAGTCACTGCAGTTTTTCTAAACCAAAATCATGTCCTCTGATAGGAATTTACTGTTTCTGAGAAATCTGTTGTCACATTTTGCTCGACAATTTTGCAAAGTTACTAGCACCTCTGCATTGTTGGAATTCCCACAATTTCTGGGACAAACTCTGTTTTCCATATTGTTTTGACTTGGTCATCGTTTTCTATTGCTAATAGTCCTGCACTAAGTTTGACACACTTAGATTATTGTTCACTTTTTTTTTTTTTTTTTTTTTTTTTTTTTTTTTTTTTTTACAGAGAGGAGGAGAGAGGGATAGAGAGTTAGAAATATCGATGAGAGAGAAACATCGACCAGCTGCCTCTTGCACACCCCCTACCGGGGATGTGCCCGCAACCAATGTACATGCCCTTAACCGGAATCGAACCTGGGACCTTTCAGTTCACAGACCGACGCTCTACCACTGAGCCAATCCGGTTCTGGCTATTGTTCACTTTTTAGTTGATCATTTTGCTCTTGTGTAATTGCTTTGTTGTTTTCTTGACTGCTATTTTAGTTCTCACTGGTTAATTTTTAGTTTTGTCCCTGGAAAGTGGAGGTTGAGTGGTAGGCAGGCTGCAGACTCAACTGCTCCATCATTTAACGGAGATGAGACCTGTACACGAGGAATTGTAACACCAGATAAGATGTGATGGAGCCATGTGAGACAGACGAAACCAATGCTGGGGGTGAGGTTGCAGGGGTTTTTTAAATTTTCTTTTTTTTTATTATTGATTTGAGAGAGAGAGAGAAAAACATTGATTTATTGTTCCACTCTTTCCTTGGTTGATTGTTACATATGCCCTGACCAGGGATCAAACCCTGACTTGGCGAATTGGGATGATGCTCTAACCATCGGAGATCCCTGGCCAGGGTGAGGTGGTAGTTCTTTAAAAAAATCCAACAACAAACATATTTTTATTGATTTTTAGAGAGGAAGTGAGAGGGAGAGAGATTGAAAGATCAATGATGAGAGAGAACCATTGATAGGCTGCTCCTGCATGCCCCCTACTGGGGATTAGGCCCACAACCTGGGAGTGCGCCCTGACTGGGAATTGACCCATGATCTTCCGGTTCCTTGGTAGACTGTTCAGCCATTGAGCCATGCCAGGCAGCCTCTTTTTTCTTTTTCAGCAAAAGTTACAGAAGTAATACTGCCTTTGTAAATAAAACAATAATGATGATAGTAAGACATGAGCATCTCCTCCCCCTATTCCCATTCCCTGGGGTAACTCTCTTCCAGAAAGCTTTTTATGTTCTCACGGATCTGTAGGGCATTTTTCTTCTTATAACAATTTGATTATAGCATCCTCCATTTTTATTTTTATTTGTTCTTTGAAAGGTTATGCATTCACATGGTTCAAAATCCAAAGGCCACCCAGGTAAAGTTTTCCACTTTCTCCTCCAGCTGCTCCTCCGCAGATTAGCGCCGCCAGGTGTGTTCCCTTGCGGAGAGGGCTTCTGCATGTGCAGATTCCTGTCTCTAACCTTTTATTTTTAGACAAAGTGTCATACTCTACACTCTGACCTCACTCTTTTCCTATGTTCTACATTGAATGGTGTGGTTCAGCTGCTACTCTGGGCAAGTGCTGGCTTGCTCCCTGACTGAAGTAAGAGGCCTCTAATGAGAATCTGGTGACACGGAAACAGATCTGGAGTGGGGTCTAGTTCCTCTACATGATGTCCTTGGCTAGTGACCTGAGGTCCCAAGGACTGGGGGGCAGGTCAGTAACACCTGGTCTTTTTTGGCTCCTGGTTTCGCTGAGCCTGGGGGCTCATTGGCTTGCATATTTGGTCAAATCTGTGTATCCCTTCAGATAAATCTTGACTTTTCCTTCCTCTCAGTTCCCTTCCGAATCTTGTCTGCTAGAGAAGCTTCTTCATTGCTGACAGTAGCAGTTAGAAAAGCCATTGGCCACGAGGCTGGGTTCCTATTTCTGCACAGGCAGCTTGGTGGTGTGGATCCAGGTAGGAATTGGTCAACATTCGGAATCCTGAGCTGCCATCTGCCCTGCAGCCTGCTGGGATGCTCAGTTTAGACAACATATAAAGTTTCCTGGATACAGGACAAGCCCAGGCCTATGGAAAGAGCAGGGAGGTTAAAGTGGGTGGTACTTTGAGCAGTGACGAAGGCGTAACCAGGGAGCTGACATGTTTGCTCTGTCGCCAAGAATTCCAGGACAATTTGTTATCCAACTCAAGCCAGTGTAGTTGCTGCAGAAAAGAAGCCTGTGGATAAAACCCTACACTTTCCTTATTGCGTTTGCTTTCTTGCATACCCACTCGTCCAGTGCTCTGGAAGTTTACCGACATGGAAATGTCTGATGATATTTGCTGTTCTCATGCAAGAGAATAGGAGGCTGGGCTCAGGCCAAAGCGTGGCTTTTATGTGTGGGAGGTGTCAGCTTCCTGAAAGGGCTTGACAAATGCAGGCATTTCACTCCCAGAAATCATAGCTGGAGGGGCATGGGTAAAAAGCTTAGGCAAATTCTAGGTTTTATTTAGGAACTATTTCACCAGACTAAGTGTAACATGAAGGTATCAATTGCCTTCTCCCTTTTCCTTAAACTGTTATTAAAAAGGCAATAAAAACTGGGCCTGTCTGATCTGCTGAGACCCATGCAGTTATGGGATTGGTATCCCAGAACCGCCCAGGCAGGTATGTGAATGTGCTAAGAACTGCAGCCAAGTGCGGTGCCCAGATTGTTTTGGCACTGGTGGCATTTTCTCAGGTCAAGGGTGGGAGACATAGTTTGCAGT